TGATTTGTTGAATGTGAATTGGGGGGCTGGGTTCTGGATTGATTGATAAAGTGTTTTTTCTGACCAATCCGTGAAGGAATTTGGTGGAGGAAGTGGGTTTGGCTTTGACCACTATTGTTTTCCACTTTGATTTCTGCCTGTTTTTTTCTGGGTTTTCTGCTTGGATAGGAAATCGGGAGAGGGGTTTCGGAAAATATCTCGTAATCCCCAATTGGAGGAAGGATAAAGAATAAGGAGTCAATCCGGTTGTAGGGTCGTGTTTTAATACATCATCAAACGTTGTGTTTGACTGAGGAAGGAAGTAGAAGGATATAATAAAAGGGAGGGGGATAACCAAACCATTCTGTGATTGGAGATTCTGGGTTTATATAGAATCATTTGCAGGGGTGATTTTTCTATTAGATGAGGAGGATTGTTGGGATGAGATGAGGTATGTTATCGGGGTTGATAAACTTTTTGAGGGGCTGTTTCCGGCCAGGCTCCGATCGGTGTGTGGCCGCGGATATCAGGGGGCGGCGGGACGGGCTGCTGTGGTACAAAGACCGCGGACAACACTTGAATGGTGAGTTCTCAATGTCTGTGGTTCAGGCCAACAATTTGCTTGAAGATCAGAGCCAGATTGAGTCTGGGAGTTTGAGTTCTCTTGAGTCTGGCCCCAGAGGTACATTTGTTGGTGTGTATGATGGCCATGGAGGTCCTGAGACTTCTCGGTATATCTGTGATCATCTCTTCCAGCATCTCAAGAGTAAGACATCTACTTTCTGCACAAATTCAAAACTCAGAAAATTTTTAGTTGCAGCTTTATATTTTCTTTTTTATTCATATTTGATCATTGATAGAGCAAAGAAACTAGTTTATGGATGATTTAGGTATCTTCTAATATGTTTTTGTCAATGAGTTTAAAAGATATTGTGTGCATCAATGCTTCTGTGACAGTTCCTTAATAGAAAAGAGAAACTTGGAATAAAGTACTAAGTTCTAATAGAAATTGACAGACAATTGGAAGGTCAAAAGTTCACTTGGAACCCTGGTTATGAATCTTATGATTAGTAGGATAGTAGATTCTAGTTTGCAATTCATATGAGATTTAAGGAATGTTTCTTTGTCATGGATTTTGGGGTGGATATAATGTATCGTTGATAATTGAAGGGTTTTTAAAAATTTGTTCCAATATTTTTAATCTTTTGATATATTTCATGTAGGATTTACTTCCGAGCAAGATTCGATGTCTGGGGAAGTAATACGCAAGGCATTCCAAGCGACTGAGGAGGGCTTTCTTTCTCTAGTCCGAAGACAATGGCCAACGAATCCACAAATTGCAGCTGTTGGTTCATGCTGTCTTGTTGGTGTAATCTGTAACGGGACTCTCTACGTTGCGAATCTAGGTGATTCACGTGCCGTTTTGGGTAGATTAGGGAAAGCAACAGGTGAGGTTCTAGCCATTCAGTTATCAACGGAGCACAATGTTTGTTATGAGTCTGAGAGGCAAGAGCTGCAATCTTTGCACCCTGATGATTCCCAGATTGTAGTCTTAAAGCATAATGTTTGGCGAGTAAAGGGCATCATACAGGTGAGCACGTATTTCGCATGTATCTTACTGGTGGCTTTAAAAAACCTCGTGAATTGACTTGGGTTACAGTAAATTGATCTTAGCAGTTAGCACTCCTTGTCTGTAGTATGTGATTGATTGATTGTATTTGGCTTTGTAGCTGCTTTTCCTTTTCATCACACAATTTAAAAGTTAAGCATTATCCCTTGGTGAGTTTAGACTTCAGATTTGCATTGAATGGTATCAGGCATCATCTGATCTGTAGTTAGTCGATTATGAGAGATGAATAGCTGTAGAACCTTCATTTTTCATGTTGGAGAATGTCAAAAGGCAGGTCTTTTTTCTTTTCTTTTATTCCTTTTTCGTTGCATTTTAGGACACTACATAGCTTCGGAAACTGAATAGGGAAAAAAAAAAGAACTTTGGAAACCAATGAGTGTGGCTGTTTTTATGATCGAACACGATATGCTAGTACACGATAAAGCTAAGCTCACATTCGATGGTTTGTATTCAATGTGAGATATTAATCTTTAGAGGCTCTTGCAGATTTCCAGATCTATAGGCGATGTCTACTTGAAGAAAGCTGAGTTCAACAGAGAACCTCTGTTTTTGAAGTTTCGAGTTCGGGAACCCTTCAGAAGGCCGATTTTGAGCTCTGAACCATCCATTTCAGAGACCCAGTTGAAGCCAGATGATAAATTTATTATATTTGCATCAGATGGGTTGTGGGAGCACCTTAGCAATCAGGAAGCAGTCGATATAGTTCATAACCATTCTCGAAGGGTGAGATTTCAATCTAAACTTTTACGACTTCATCACCTTTTCCATTAAACAACTATTCGACCTGGCTCGAATACTCGAAGTATCAAAATATATATTAATTTACTATTCTCTTCTTTTCTAGTTCAGTAGCCTTTTCCTGTCTGTCTATTGTGGTTTGAAGGAATGTTGCTTGAAGGATCTTGGATATGATGAAGTTTATTTCCATCTTTATTGTTTATAAATATGCATGAACAACTGATTCTGAGGTTAACATGTATTGCCTGTAGATTTTCGCCTCCTGCTCCTAGTTCTCTTCTTTTTTGCCTCTCGTACTAAGGACCGATATTTAGAATGGTTTCGCTGTCATAGACCAACTTTACTGGTTTCTAAGCCATACAATCGCTATAACTCGCCATAACTTTTGATGTTGCAATGTTGTCTATAAAACTCTTATACCAATGTCAGAGGATTGTCAAATATATGCTTCCATTTAAAATGGGGATGATGTAAGAAATGCTTTGTGATGAAGTTTTATGGATTTTTATGCTTCCCTATCTAGGAGCGTGCTTTTGCTGAATAAAACTATAGCCAATGTGCCATTCTATCTATTCTTGTCACTATCATTGTCAATATATGTCAACGATTTTAGAGGGAAGTTTCGAGTTTCGAGTTGTTTCACATATGCTATTACTTTTCAGGGAAGTGCAAGAAGACTGGTCAAAACTGCTCTTCAAATAGCTGCAAAGAAAAGAGAAATGAGGTACTCAGACTTGAAGAAGATTGACCGTGGTGTTCGTCGCCATTTCCACGACGACATCACTGTGGTGGTTGTGTATCTCGATACAAATCTGCTCTACAAAGCGAGCTCTGCCAAGAGCTCGAGTGTCTCGCTACGAGGGGGTGGAGTCAATCGGCTTCCTTCCCGTGTAGACGCTGGCAACTCCTGATTGGAGTCATTGGCATGAATCTTCTGCTGCATTATCCCCTATGTGAATATTAAGTAGCTTCCAGTAGAGAGAAGAAAGAGTTGCAGGCACATCAGCTCATTGTTCTAGATTCAAAACTCTCCACTGAATCATCTCATGTAAAAGAAGAGTGAATTTAAGAAGAGTGATTCAATCTGACATTTATTTGTGGGTTAAACCTTGTAATGTAATACTCTATTTAACTCTGCCAGTCTGCCTGTTCCACCCCTTTGGCCATTTTCAGGTCTGTAAGTTCTATACTCACTCCCACTTGGAGAAAATGCGACCAACTTTTGTAACTAGCCTCAATTTGAAAGACCCTATCTTTGGATAATATCGTCTGTCTTAACAAGGAAAAACCTAAGTTTGAATGGCTAGAAATAACTATATTTCCCTTATAACAACTTCAAACTCAAACAAAGAACCTTCTTCTTCAAGGCATGAGTCAAAGAAAATGTTGTATGTAATCTCTACAGATGTCCATAGTAGGCCGGCCTCCCTACCTAAACCAATCATCATATCGGCCCCTAGGTCCCCCGAAAAAGAATCGATTGATTCTCTCCCAATTGGTTTGATCGTAGTTTGATCTTCAATTCTCATGGTTAGTGTTTTGATGATTTTTCGACAATCACCCACATCTTACGAATCCAGAACTCTCTTTACTGAACCCAGATCTAAAAAATTTGCGATCGGATAACCTATAGAATAGATTTTTTTCTTTTTTTGAAACAATAGAACAGATCCTATTGAATTAAGGTTGTAACTGTGCGAGGAAGTTGATATTATATAAGAACTCTGTACTGGAGATAGGTTTTTGACATGTATTTACTTTTTGGAAAAATATCTCTTCTCGGCTCTCTTTTTTTTGCATCTCTCTTTTTCTGCATTTCTCTTTTCTACCGGTCAAAAACTTGGTACAAAAATTCTTGGTTGGTTTAGGCTGAATTTACTAATTCCACAAATAACACAAATTTATGTTACATCAACCCGAAATGTAAAAAATCTACTTTTTATATCATATATTAATTTTTACGTCGTAAATCAATGAATCAAATATAAGTTCTACCAATTCAAATTTGTGTAATCCATTCTTTGCACACTTCAAATACAGATTACACAAGCTTAATTTTCAATCCTTATTAAAATCTTTCATATTGCTAACTTAGAAGGGTCATACATAGCAAACTTTTAAACGTCACAAGGAATTGACATGAAACTCTCTGTTTGGAACTTAAAAAACAAGTAAAATTGGAAGTGACAAACATGTAGGTGTAGGCCTCATTCCAGATCATTCTGATGCTTCATCAGATAATACATAAATCAGAATCAAATTCTTCATATATTTTACCTGTGACTGTATTTTTTTCACATCCACAATCTACCACTCAAACTGGAATCTGGCACTGCAGAAGAAACAGCTAGTAAGCACTGAAAGAGTTGATGGCTGTTTATGTTTCAGAATTTTCAAATAACACAGCGCTTGACAGTAGAGTTCATAAGCTCCAAAAACTTTCAAATAACACAGAATCAGATTCTTCCAAAAACTTTCAGTAAATTGTTCATAACTATGTCAAGAATATTCTTAGTGGTGAGTTACATGAGTCCTTCTGTTGCACCTTTGTACATTATGCAATGATACACATCCTCAAAAAAAAGCTAGGGTATGATCATGTGAATGAATTTACATGGTTGTCGAGTTTAAACTTTAAACCCAATGCCTATCTCATCCCTAACCCAAGTAAAGAGAGACCAAAAATTGAGAGAAGAGGATAAATTCACTTATCACCGCGGCAGGAGAGCGTAAGCCAAGAAAAGGCACGATGTCGACTTGCAACCAATTCTCAACTGCTGAACCTACTACTGCTCCGGCCACAAGCCCACCTACAACTACGATAGATGCTTTTCCTGCAAAGAAGAACAACAGAACCATTTGAAAATATTCTCAAGTGAAGAATTCCAAGATGTTATAGATCTGAATCACTCAGCATAATTTGAGTGCACAAATCAAAATCACTATGGCTTGTTTGATAACAATTTTGTTTTTTATTTTATGTGTTTGAAGTTTTAGCTTATAAACTCGGCTTTCACCTGTATTTTTCTTTGCTTTATCTTCTACTTTTTAAAAACGTTTTCAAAATCTAAGTAAAATCTTAAAAACTAAAAAAAGTAGTTTTTAGAAACTTGCTTTTGTTTTTGTCAAGAATTCAAATGTGTTTTTAGGGAGAGTATAAACATTTACACCAACCAAAAGCTAATACAATAACTCTATCAAATGTGTTTTTAGTGAATTTAAATGTGTTTTTAAGAAATTTGAAAAACATACCAAAGAAATTGTGAGAAAACAAACCTAATTTTTAAAAATTGAAAACTGAAAACAAAATGGCTATCAATCGGGGCAAGGATAAATTCCTGAATATATGTGATAGAAGTGGTTTAAATATCACATGTAGCATAAAAGAAGTATGCAGGGAAATACGCCCGGGAAAAAAACTTGTTCCCCCTAAATCATCAACAGTCTTCCCCGCTCTTATCTCTTTCTAAAATCAATTTCAAAAACAATAATCAAACTTTTATTTGACAAAACCTCAAGAGCATTGGCAAGTAGAAAACAATGCAACTCCTTCAATTGTATTTTGGTTTTGGTTTTCTCCTTTTAAAAATCACTACTTCTCCATGTATTTCTTTTGCTAAGCCAAAATAATTGCGAGGAAGCAAACATAATTTCTAGAAAATTAAAGACAAATTAATAATCAAACGAGGCCCTTGTAGAAACTAAAGGCACGAAGAATTAGCAAAAGTCCTTACCCAGCTTCATGTTCCTTTTAGTCATGAAATACAAGGAAGCTCCAAAGCTACTTGCTAAGATTAAACCAGGAAGATCAGCTCCAGCATATGTCATCATAGTAGATGTGGATGCTCCATTTGCGTAGGTTAAAACCATCAAAGCTCCATATACACCTGCTTGTATGCTAAAATCACTAATGGTTGGCGTTTCAACAGACAATTGTGTGTTCTTCATTGTAGCCTGCAGCCACTGGGGCATTGGGGCGATCTGTGGCTCACTGATGGACTTGACATCAGCATAAAGGATCCCACTACTCACAACCTTTCCCGCTTGTCGCTGAGTCAAGCTCCGCATAAGCAACATGTCATATGCAGCCTCGACCTAAAACACAAATAGCAGCAATGACCAACAATGGAGAGAGATGGTTCCAGTTACTTGAGAAAACCAAAGGCCAGCACAAATGATTGAGATTATAGCCCAAAAAAAGATATTCAATTTCATTCACCGAAAAAAACTAATCAAAGACGCTCAAGAACAAAATTTTTAAGAACTGTAAGATTGCGTAAGGTTATCTAATGTACTAATACTGTACTCAAGCTGCAGCAGCATTATAGACGAAACAACTTTGATAAAACTTAGGTCCAGTGCCATTAAAAATAATAACTGCACTCCATAGAACTCCAATAATCCAGGCACAATATTTTGTCCAAAAGTATTACTGTCTCTTCATGTAATAACAGGTATCTGAATACATCGTTCGAATCTAATTGCATACTCTTGCATATTTCCTTAACTCGTCATCTTTCCCCAGCCAATTCCTTTTTCTTTTGTTCTGTGATGCAAATGACACTTCAGCAAATTTGTCTAAGAATTACTCTTAGACCTTTATGTTTTTTGCTTGGGCCCATCATCCCTTGAGCCCATTTATTAGTTTTATGTTTTAGTGCAAGAAAATTGTTTTTCAGTTTACTCTCTTGGTCGTGCGTGGTAACTGTACAGGGAGAGAGTGAAAGAAAAATTACAGAGAATTTTTTAGCCTTTGAGAGAAGGGGAGGGTGTTCTTCCTATGTGCGCTGGAGGGTGTATTTTTCACACCATTTCTTAATAGAAGCTTGAGATATTGATTGAAGAGTGGATGTACACCAACTTGGTGGAAGTTGGAACCACTATATACCATTGTGTTCTTTCTTCTTCATCTCATCTTTTGATTTGTTTTTCTGCAGTTTTTATTTTTATATGTTCAAATTACAGTTTGCGAATAAAACATTTCTAACATTTATAAATTTCAGGAGTATTCGAGCGAGGACAAAAGGAAAAAGAAAGAGGGGAGAAAAATGTACAGGGCTTCTGAAATTGGACCATGTCGCCGAAGTCAGAGGTTAATTGACAATGAACAGGCTCAAATACCAAACGGAATTTGCCATCCCAAATAGTGCAGACAAAACAAAAGTGAAGTTTTACTCGCTTGAGAAATTCACAGGTTTCATGGCGATCATATTTGCCCCCCAAAAACAAAAAAATCATAATAATTTTACCAAATCAATCGGACTCCGAAATTCAAAATGCCAATATACAAATCAAAGGGGATGCAGTAGTTGAAATGATTCCTCGAGAGAAACTGATTAAGATCCCTAATTAACCAAAAGTCCCCAAAAGAAGCATAAAATGGAACTCCACCGAGAAAAGAGATAAACTCTACCTGCGCCACTGTTTCTTCGTCGTCCTTGCAAGCGGCTAGGATCGAATTCCTAGCACGGAGAATGTCATCGAAGGAGGCCTCCTCGGAAACTCCGAGAACCTTGAGAGCGTTTTCCACGGACATCTCGAACGGCGCGGAGTCATCGGCCCTCGAGCCAGCTTGCACCGGCGTGGCCGGCATCGCCGGTGTTCGCGAGATGTGTGAAATGCCAACACGTTTCCATAGACTCAATTTTCCGATGAAGTTTGAACCGGGCCGATGAGCCGGCGGCGTCGGAAAGGCTGCGCCGCCGGAGAAACCGTTGGGGCGGACGGAAAGAGTGGCTGCCATTTTTGTTCGCTCAAACGTGAGGCTTTTCCTTCGAGAAGTGCCTGTTCCTGTGCCCGTGCGTGGTTTACAGTGTAAGCAGAACATGACGGAGCTGGCCACACTACGATGCGCCAATCTTATTGTAAGCTTTTGTGAGCTCTCTTCAACCGATAATCATTTTGTCCTTTTATTTAAATTATGCTTGTTTTTTTTTCACTGTTTTCTTTTGTATTTTTTAAAATGCATTTGAATCTTTAGCCTAACTTTTTTGTTGTTAAAATAACAAGTTTAAATTTTAAAAGTTTTTAATTAGATAATGCATAGGAGAATCCAGTGTTTATAAGTTAAAATGGAAAACAATAAAAAGATAATCAACTCATCACGTGATCCTTGAATAAATATACAATCGATATGTCATATAAATGTTAAATGAATTAACAATAGAAAAATATTATATATCAAAGCGAACATAGCTTAACAGTAATTGACATATACATACAATAATTATACATAAAATTAGATATCAAATCGTGAATTTATAGTCTTTTGAAAAAGGAATTTTAAAATAGACCAATAAATTTAGTCAAATTTAATAATTCTTATTTTATTAAATGTTAAGAGATGGCAACAAGTTTCTGGCAGGAATTTTATTTTCCGATAGGTGTTATTTTAGGGAGGGCGATTAAATTGTGCCGAATTTTTCAAAGCAAATCATTCCATTTGAGTAGATTCGAATTAAGGACGTCAAGACATGTTTAATTATTAATGTCTATAATTTTGTTTACGTGTAAACGATTAATTGGATACTAAATAAACCCAATGTTATTCAAAGTTGACAAAGTTGGTTTTAATTGTTAATCAGTTTTGTAAAAATATTGTCATACAATTGTTTTTCAATGATATAAATTACGGTAAACTCTACATAGACACGCATCGATTCAATTTATAATAGAATCAATATTATAGAGTTAACAAAATGCTATATTTTATTAGGTCCAAGATAATTTTTTTTTCTGTCTCCTCAATCTATGGAAAAAAACAATACTCACAAATAAAAAATAAAACATTCATATTTTACTAACAATAGTGGGAGTGTTCATTTATTCAAAAAAAAAAAAATAGTGGGAGTGTTCACATGTTGTGTCGGGTCGGGTTAGAAGGAGTTTTGAGATTTTCTGGTTAGCCATATATAGGAACCGTCGGGTTTGGATTGGATGGTCAATGCAGCCCAACCTAATATATTCGGGTTGGATTGTCGAGTTGTGCATTTTTTCTTTTTTTAATTTTTAATTTTTAATTCTCACGGCGGTGACAGAGAGTTAGAATTAAAACTAAATAGACGGCTATATTAGATACAAAATGGAAGAAGATAATATGAAAACTTTAAATGAAATTGTAGGATTAAAACTAAATGAACGGTTGACATTGAAGATAAATATATTATTTTATATATATATATATATATATATAATTAAAAAATACACATATGAATAAATTTGGGTTGAGTTGGGTTGACCCGATTTTTTAAATGTTGAATTCGATACCCAACCCAATCCGATCGAGTTGGGAAAATCACAATCCAACCCGATCCAAGGCTTCATCTAACCGAACCGAACCCGAATTAGGTTTGTCGGGTTTTTTGAACATCCCTTTGAACAACATAATAAAAGACTGTTAAAAAAAAAGAAATAACATTCACATGGAGCAATATGAGCCCATTGCCCATTTATGCTGGCCCAAGCCCAATACCGCAAAGAGATTGGGCTTACACATAGATGAGGTGACTGTTTGTTTAATAATGAGATAAATACCTTAACTATTTGAGCTACGCTCAGTTTGATAATATGATAATTATTTTAATTTCTTTTATTCACCTAAACATTTGTATTCAATTTTATCTAGTGTTGATAGATTAATAGATATCTATCATTAATAGACGTTTATTGATCGAATTATATGACGTTTATTAGTGATATTCCTCCATCGTTAATCGACGCATGAGATTTAGACATCCGACTAGAAAGAAACTACCATCAATTTCAAGGTTATTTTAGTAGTTTTTGTGGGTGCTTCGATTTTTTTTTTTATTTCAAAACAAAAAGAACGTGTTATATTTACAAATCTATAAGGTTGTTGCCCTATTTGAAATTAATTTAATTTGTTTTGCTATGCCCCTGTACATAAAAAAAATTCATCAAATTAAAAAGAGTTAAGAGTTGAAATTCTTTTAAATATGCAAACTTTACTTACTATATAATTTAGACTACAAATTCTCTAATTGTATGGACTATATAAACTAATTAAAATTATATAAATATCAGTTCTTGATGTATAATTTTTATAAATTTCAATTTCACATCAAACAAAGCGACACAAATTAAAAACTTGAAAAGACTTAATTTTCCACCATTCAAATACGGTTGAAATTGAAGCTCTATAATTTTAAACTTCTCAACCCCTAGTTTAACTTGTGAACATATAATAATTTTTAAAGGAGAACTTTTAGTTTTATTAAAACGAGTCTAACTTTTTAAACCCAACTCACATTTGAAGAGACAATCCACTCTTTAAAATTCGATTTTTGTAAACCGTAACTTCTCAACATAATTTTTCTAAATTTTTTACTTAAACCTTCGAACTCGAATCAACAGTACAAATATTTTATAAAACTCAAAAGTTGAAATTCTCTCTACAAATTTGTTATTATTAATTTTTTGAACTGAAAAATAATTTAAAGCCTTTTTGAATCAAAGAACCAAATACCTACAAAAGTAATGGGGCTATATGGAGCCAAAAGAGAGGGAAAAAAAGGAGAAGATTCACGAATTGCCCCTGGCCAACGTGCACCCATGCAGATCACGATGTTCAGATAAAGATATAAAATAAACTTCAATACAGATAATGAAAGCGGGTCCCGGTAAGGGCAATTCCGTCAATTCCTCCCTCCAAAAGTAGATGAAAAAATTCCCCGCGATCTGTTAAATCGTGGACCAATAATTTCCCGCCACGTAGCAAGAACAAAATTTACCCCAGAAAACAGAACCCAAGAATCCCCTTTTCCTAATAATATTACCATTACCATTTATTTATTTTCGTGGTTTCATAATTCAATTACCAAATAATTAATTAATTTAAAATTTTATATTCTAATAATTTCTCAGGTTCTCAACTACAACTACAATACAAACTGTTAAAATAATTAAAAGAAAAAAAATAATTCCGAGTGAAATTTGGTTTCTATTATTGATTTAAAAATATTCCAGTCCGTCAGATCCCAGTTTACATCTTCTCGCTGCTGTCCACATCTCTCTCTCCTCGCCCTCGGTTCCGCTATCAGATCAGGAGAAGCAAAAACGAACAGGTTTGAATCTTCGACTTCTCTTTCAGATCCATGGTGATTTCGGAAGCTGCTTGATCGTTATTTTGATTGCCTCGGATTCTCGCTGTCGTTGGAAATACGTATTCGCCTCTTGAGGGCTTTAGTTGTTGAATACTCTTGTTTGATCCGAACTTTGTTTTGTTTTTCTCTATAGATTATGCGAATTGTAGCCATTTGATTTCGGGACTAGTTTTGTGATTTCGCCTGTTTTTTTGTTTGTTTGTGTTCTTCTCTGGTGTTTGGTTCATGGGTACGAAGTTGAAAGTGATTGTAGTGATACATTCAATCCAGTTCTCTGTTAATTTGTTGTAATCGATTTTCCCCCCCCTTTTTTAGTGTCTTGGAGTTTGAAGTATGGGTGTGGAACAAAACAATCACGATGCAGAGGAGGGAACGCTGGAGATTGGCATGGGTAGGTTGCCATAATTTGTCAATTTTTGAAGCTTTGTTTTGATCAAATGGATATAAGCTTGAGTTTGCGAAAAGCTTGAACTTTTGTGCTGTATGAATGATTTTCGGTTGGTTTTCATGCTGCAGAATATAGAACAGTCTCTGGAGTTGCTGGTCCCTTGGTAATTCTGGAAAAAGTCAAGGTTCGGATCTCCTTCCTTTCTATTTCGTTAAGTATATTTGATAGAGGATCTAGTGACTAATTCTTTTATCCAAATTTCCAGGGTCCTAAATTTCAGGAGATTGTTAATATTCGTCTAGGAGATGGAACAACCAGGCGTGGTCAAGTCCTGGAAGTTGATGGGGAGAAAGCTGTTGTCCAGGTTATTTCTCTTTCGTGCTTATCCGTCTTATTTTCACTGTCAGACTGGTTTCACCAAAGATTGAGGAGGTTCAGGGAATAATGTGCCCCCTTTGAGTGGGTGCTTGTCTCCAGATTATACACTGGTTTCAATCTAATTGATTCGATCGGTTCATGCCATGTTCTACTGAGATTTTACTGGATTACTTTCTTCTATGTTGTTTACGCATCGAAAGCAATTCGTTTATTTATAATATTTTTATTTGGATTTTGTTGGTCGCCATTGCCAGGTATTTGAAGGAACATCTGGAATTGATAACAAGTACACAACTGTGCAATTTACTGGAGAGGTACCAGCACAATTAGAATAAATGGCTGAATTTATCTTATCAGATGAATTTATTCAAATCTCTCTGTTTTAGTTGTGAACTATTAGTCTCGTTTTCCAAAGTTCTGCTGGAAAATCTATGAAAAAACATGGACACATAACACTTCATAACTAGTAGCTTGAAGGATATCAAACAGCCCAGCAGGTGTTGTCAAGATTCTCTCAGGCATCATATTATGATAAAACTATCAATATTCAGAAAGCTAGTGGAGGAGGTCCCATCCAAGCAGGGAAAAATAAAGTGATAAAGGAATCAATAGAAGAAAATTTGGATGTTTTTCCTGTGACAGGTTTATTAGCAGCTGCTATTACTCCGCTAAAAGTTTTATTTGCAGAGATCCAATGTTGATAATTTATCATTATCTGGAAAAAGGAAAGTGATAAAAGAATCAATGGAATAAAATTTGGACTTTCTTTTGTGGTGGGCTTAGCTTTGTGGAGACAGTCTCCAATTTTGAAAATTTATCATTATACGTGTTTAGTTGAGAAGATAGTGCAAGCTGCTCATGGTAATTTCCTTGGGCAATGTTCTAGCTGCTGGGTAGTTGTGCGCTTGTATTGCTATTGATCCCTGTTGATAGGAAGTATCTTTAAGTTACTAATGGATCAAATAGAAATTAAATTTCTAAGAGACTTGTACAAAGGAAAAGCCATACTAGGTTAATCACTGAAGCCCATAAAGGGGGGGCTATTTTTAATGTCCAAGGCTTTATCTTAAAAAAATTGTCTATATTCTGAAGGATACATCAAGTTGGTTTCTAGCTAAAAGGTTATTCTATATATTGTAATGACTATCCTTGCCCATGTACGTTTTTTTGCTTGGACATCTAATTTTGGAAATTCTGCTGCCAGCCACCAGGTCATGGAAGATTGAAATCGATAATAATATAGAAGATTTTTCATTTATTGTGAATTGCAATTTTTTGTAATTTAACCTTGTCCTACACAACTTTATTGCTCATTACTTCTGTTCTATGTCACATTTGCAGGTTTTGAAAACTCCAGTCTCCTTGGACATGCTTGGGCGTATTTTTAATGGTTCTGGAAAACCCATTGATAATGGTCCTCCTATCTTGCCCGAGGCTTACTTGGATATTTCTGGTGTGTTGCTGGAAATCTAGAGAAATCTTTTGTTTTACCATTTTTAATAAATCCACAGTTTTTTTTTAGTTTCATTTTCCTCATGTGCTACTCCTCTTCCTTAGGGAGTTCAATAAACCCTAGCGAGAGAACTTATCCCGAAGAGATGATACAGACTGGAATTTCTACAATTGATGTCATGAATTCCATTGCTAGAGGACAAAAGATCCCACTTTTCTCAGCTGCAGGTCTTCCTCACAATGAAATAGCTGCCCAGATATGTCGTCAGGCTGGCTTGGTAAAGCGGTTGGAGAAATCTCATGATCTTCTCGAGGTATTGTTGTATAATTTTCTAGGCAGGTTTTAATTTTTATGTTTTGCTTTCTCAACAAGTTCGTTTGGAAAATTGGTTAAATGGTAAATATGTATCATCTTCAAATTCTTATTGTTTATATTTTACAGAGGTTATACTTTAATAAATGCGTACACTAATTTTGTAAAAATTCACTGACATAATGAATTTGATCTCCAAGTTTCAAGAAGTTTCCCAATGGATATATGTTAGATTTTGATTGAGTTTTCAAGTCAACTGGGTAATGAAATATATGCGAACTGGGTAATGAATTACTGGTTCTCAAGACAGTTGCTTGGTGTATGGATTTGATAATCTTGATGCTTGTTTTACCGTAGTAATGTTTGAATTAACTTAAGTTTTTGATTTACAGGGGGGCGGTGAAGAGGACAACTTTGCCATTGTTTTTGCCGCTATGGGTGTTAACATGGAGACTGCTCAGTTTTTTAAACGTGATTTTGAGGAAAATGGTTCAATGGAGAGAGTGACCCTATTTCTGAACCTGGTAATCTTTATTTTTCTACATCAACTGGTGAAACTTTGTTGTGATTATTTATTCTTAAATATGAAGGCCGTGGTATTTTACAGGCTAATGATCCTACAATCGAGCGTATTATCACTCCTCGAATTGCTCTTACCACCGCTGAATATTTGGCTTATGAATGTGGGAAGCACGTTCTTGTCATATTGACAGATATGAGTTCTTATGCTGATGCTCTTCGAGAGGTAATGCAGTGATGTATTTACTTTTGAGTTTCCAGTTTCTGAATATGTTACTCGACTGCAACCAAATACAATAACAAATGCAGGATGTCCAAGACGATATCATTTTTTTTTTAGTTTTGGATTTTATTTTAATTGGAATTTGGCCGACCTCTGACCAATCTTGTATTTTTGTAGTTTTTCTTCCCCTTTAACAAAATTGCTATTAGTTGTAATTTTGGAGCTGGTATTTCTAATACATTATTATTGTGAGAACTTTGTAATTTTGTAAATTAACTGATATATATTCAACTAAAAGTTCTTAATGAAGACGCTGAATATCTTAATTTATTTAACTTATTATTTTTGCTTCTCAAGATATGCACTACGTAAGAACTAAGAAAGGCCTGATTAGATTTACCCAGCATTTAAATTTCCTAAAGTTATTAAAAGATCACTTTTAAGAGAGTCAAAATAATCTCAATTAGAACTCTAATATTTTTTATTGGTAAAATGTTATGTTTGGAAGATGTACCCTGCCAGAAAGGGGGAACAGAAGAAAAATATTTAGAAAATGATCAAACCATTGGCTTCTTTTGCAGGTGTCTGCTGCACGAGAGGAAGTACCTGGAAGGCGTGGATACCCTGGTTACATGTATACTGATCTTGCTACAATCTATGAACGTGCTGGACGTATTGAAGGACGCAAAGGATCCATCACTCAGATTCCAATTCTCACTATGCCAAACGATGGTAATGCCTTCTCAAGCTATGTTCATTGTCTCATTAAATTAACGTTCTTGTTCGTTAACATTTACATTGATTCTTTTTGGGATTCAATCAGATATTACGCATCCTACTCCCGATCTTACTGGCTATATTACTGAGGGACAGATCTACATTGATAGGCAGCTCTACAACAGACAGGTGAGTTTATGGAGCTTGGGATTTATATTATATAATTTTCTTGTTCACTAACCTGCATAACAAAAAATGAACCATGAGGTGGACTTAGGGTGTGTTTGGGAGTGATGGTAGAATTAGTGATTTTGAAAAAAGAGATTTAAATATAATTGATTTTCCAAAACTACCGTCCCAGTGATATCTTAAAAATCAATTTAAAGCGATTCTAAACTTTTTTAAAATTAATTTTTTAATTTGCCAAACATTATCGATGGTAAGGAAAGTGATTTTGACAATGGTAAAAGTTATTTTGGCCATGTCAAAATCACTCCCAAACACACCCTTAGTGATGCTTGGTAACTAAAATTTATCATGTTTGTGTCTAGATGTACTGCGAGCATTATGCATTATCATAACCTGAAACTGAATTCCTTCTATATTTTCGCAAGAACTGAGCAATTCTAGCGGATAGAAGTTGAAATGGGAATGTATAACACCCCACCCCATTTATGTCTTATCATATAAGCAGTATATCTTAATAAAAAATATTGGTGCAAGCCATACAAAGAAAGTAATGCTGTTATCATAGTCTATGAATGATAATTAATAACTTCCCCGCAATTCACGAACTATGTAAACCCAAATGGAAGGTTATTTTACTCTTATGCAGGATGTCAAAATTCGAAACATGAATTTACTTGTTCATGAATTTGAAATTTATAATTGATAATTGTTACTCATGAGGATTCTTTCAATTGGCTCTGAAACTAATAATTATTTTCTTTGATTGGCCAGATATACCCACCAATTAACGTCCTTCCTTCGTTGTCTCGGCTTATGAAGGTAATTTTTCTTGCACAATGTTTTGACGGTAGTTTGAAGCATAGTAGACAAATTCATGATGTATGAAAGTAAAACTATCATCTGAACTGCAGAGTGCTATTGGTGAGGGAATGACCCGTAGGGATCATGCTGATGTATCCAACCAGGTGAGCTTTCTTAGTTATAGTTTTAGGGATCAGTCGTTGAGCCAATAATAAAATCCGTCTGACTTCAATATCCTTGCATGGCAAACCCGCAGCTCTATGCAAATTATGCCATTGGGAAGGATGTTCAGGCAATGAAAGCCGTGGTCGGAGAAGAAGCGCTCTCGTCTGAGGATCTGGTATTTCATCTTTCATTTTCCTTGAGAATTGTTCCTACAGTGCAAATTTTTGTTTCTCTCACAATGCCCTTCTGAAAACAGCTCTATTTGGAGTTTTTGGACAAATTCGAGAGGAAGTTTGTCAGTCAAGGAGCTTACGACACTCGAAATATCTTCCAGTCACTTGATCTGGCATGGACACTGCTTCGCATTTTCCCCCGCGAACTTCTCCACCGTATACCCGCAAAGACTCTCGACCAGTTTTACAGTCGAGAATCTGCAAACTGATCGACGAGGAAACGAGAGCTCTTATACCCGTAAGAGGCCTCCGCGTAGATAGATCATAATGAGCTTTGAGAAACGTTGTTTCCAGTCTCCTCCCCTTCTCCATATTGCATATTCAGAGTGAAAAATAAGAAAGTTGTGTTTGATCTCACAGTTCAGCCTCTTTTCCAAATCCAAGCAAAAGTCAGAAATGGACATCCAGCTCTTCCAATGTGTCTGTATTATGTTTAATTATTTTGTTGGATTGTGGCAATCTTTCTGCTTTGGGAATGCCTCAGCAACTATTAGGGCTTCTAGAATTCTAGACAAGGCCCTATCCAAATTCTGCTTCTTGTCTATTTATTATATTATTATATTTTGTATTCTGAACAGTTTTGAAATTTTCTCAACTATTCAGTTTGCTATTTTTATGAATATCCCCATGCGTTTGTTTGTTGTGTTCAATTTCACTTTTGTATTCTCTAATGGGCAATTATTTCTCCAAATTTTGATCAATCTATTGTAGGTTTCTAACAGTAATTTGGACCCATTAGACTTGGATTTCTTTTAATATTGTAAAAACAAAATAATTATCTAAATATAATTATTTCGAAACTATTTTTTAAAATATTGTACTTTTATTAGTGCGAGGCAGTGTCGTCTCTATGGCTGAACAGAGACGACCTTGTTTCTTGTGAATAAAAGATAGTTTCGAAATAATTAGATTTAAATAATTAGTTACAGCTATTTTTTAAAAAATATTAAAAAAAAAAGTCCCATTAGAAGCATTTTTAAGCTGGCCTAATCCAAATGAATGGTCTGTTAGGAACTTATTAAAGTTCAATGAAAATATATTTTAATGGCTATTTAAAAAAACTGTTTTTTTATGTTACTTTAGACCCCGTAACCTAATATTAAGAAATGAAGTCATTTTTCTCCATATGGACGGTGATATGTACTTTATTTTCTGGGTATTGTTGCATAACTTCTTTTTTTTTAGTACAACCAATGGTGAAAATTTTAAGTGTCGATATTGATGAAAATGTTGAGGTCTCAATATTATAGAAATTTTGATAGAAATATCAATAAAATATTATCGATGACTATTTTTGAAAAAGTTATAAAAATAAAAAAATTCGTAAAAAATATTTAAATAAACAAATAAGCATTTTAATATTTTTAAACGAGTTAAAAAGGATTAATACTATCATTATGTTATTTTGTTGATATTTTTCATATTTTGTTATTGTTTTTTTGTAATACTATGGAAATGTCGATTTACTCTTCATGTTGATGTTGAACTAATAATATATGAAAATGTTAATAAAAATGTCGGACGAGTATTTAATAACATGAGTACAACAAATAACAGAATGAATTATGTCTTTAGAGTTATGTTCTTGTTGTCGGTGAAGGAGTTTATGGCACAAAATAACATTGACTTTTACATACCATCTACTCATAGTCCAAAACAATTTTGAAGCAAAACCGACAGGCAAATTTGAAAATGGTTGTCTAAACAAGCCTTAATATTCCTCAATGATACAAATTGATATGGCCAAAATAATGAAAACTCACCATGGAATCAAAGATGGAGTTAATTTCTGATTCCAATGACAGCTAAGAACATGCTTCTATCGCTTCCTCAATCTTTCAACAGCCCAAAGACTCCAAACGAGTGTAGAATATTAGCCTTCTACTCAAATCTTATAGGTTATACCACAAAATTCAAACTCTAGAGCTCACTCAGCCATTGATGGGGAGTTGTGGTCATGTCTAATATATGGTAAGGAACCAGCACGAGAAACCTTCTTTATCATTTCCTTCCGAATAAAGTTGGGTCGACGAAAAAATAACATTATAGAGAACTCAATAGATTCTTTTTCAGAAAGGATTGTACAATTTAGAATCAATGTTCAGCCTGCTTTTGATGATCTAACCACAGTTGGGAGTACAACTGAATCGAGATTTCCGGGGTAAGGAGTCCACAAGCCTAATCCTCCCCTAGTCTCTATCAAACTAGTCGATACGTTGCGCTGCTTCCACTGTTTATACTCTTTCATACTGCTCATATTCCCCTTAAGTTGATCCCAATCTTTAACCCACTCTATAAGAGAAGAATGCTCCCTTGTATGTGGGTGCAAAATAAAAAGTGAATAATACTCACAATTTGGAAACATAAAGAACTTGAAAGAATCCCCTAGCCTGTATACGACGTAACCGAAACTCAGTTGGTCCCTTGGTGTGAACAGGTGGACTTCGTTGAACCACAAGCAGCTAAACAAATTACTCATTGCTGTATGCTCCCGTATAATAATGGCTCCCTCTGGAACATCTGCATTTTTAAACATTTAGATCAATAGAACATTTTTGTGCACATAAGAGGTCAAGTTAGAAACCATGATTCAGAAAATGCCCACAATTTTAGAGTTCCATAGTTCATTTTAGGAAGATTAATACTCCCCTATGACTTCTTTTGTAGCTATTTATTTTTTTGAAAGAAGGAAGATGAAGGCTTGAAGAGATGCCAATCAGCCAATGTGTTTACAAGAAAGCTAGAACCAACTAACTCTTTGAAAATTTTATATCAAGAATAATGGTTATCAAGGAATTGAAGGTTTGTTGAATGCATAGTTTCACATGTTACAGACAATAAGTCCGTTGATAAAACTGAATGACTTATAAGTTATAAGGATAACAATGACTTACCACTGACAGTTTTCTTTTCTGGACTCCATGGCTCCATTCCTTCATAACGGTATATTTTCATGTGAAGATCAATAAGAGGACGGGCATAACGTTTCCTTCGCTTATTTGAATCAGCCTCTTCATAGATACTAAGATGATGCTTATGTTGAGCAATGGCAAAGGTATGCTTCCCACGCCACAAGTATCTGCAGTTAGCACAAAAAGTAACAACGAAGAACGCTTAAAAATCAGAGGAAGTATTTGCAGAAGTTGATTTCTGGAATAAATCAATGTCTCACACTCCCGCTTATAATGTAGTTAAAGACTCCCCTTACAGACAATAGCTAGAAAGATATTGGCTTCATCCAGTTAGGATAATTTAACACAAATGAACCCCTTTGGCCATGCTATAATCAGTTCAAAATGATACCTTTCTAGATATATTTCGATAAGAAATGGGAATCTATTTTTAATTAAAATAAAAGTATATGTGTAATCATAAGGCTATAAGTTCATAATAAAAACAATACCTTTCCAAAATGAGCAAAGGGTCGACTATCAGCTCCATTTTACCATCAATCCAGATACTATACTGTGCTTGAGGGAACAACCGATGAGTTAATATCTTTGGAACCTTTCCATTTCTTCTTGGCTCATCATAGGGTGGATACTTCAGTAGAATAAGGCGCCAGATACCAACCCATTTTCCTCCATCATTATCCTCTTTAATGGTAACATTTTCTCTTATAAATTGCATAGAAACCTCATCCACCACCATAAGGAAGCAAAATAGATCCTTAGAGCGGGCGCTAATATTTGAAGGCTGTCGAGGAACATCATATCCATCAAAAATTCCTGAGGCAACCACAAACCTACATTTCTTGACATACTTGACATCGGTAGGAACCATTTCAGCCCCACCGTTTCGCATAAAACCACAATGCACCTGCTTTGAAAACACAAGCAGTAACTAACTAATCTTACCATCAACAAAGGCAAACCAACGAGAAAAATAAAGGCTAACAGGATATTGACACAATTGACACTTTCTCCCACCTTCATGGTCGGTTTTAGTTTAAAGCTTTCCTCTCTTTGCGTCCAGTTCAGGTGTCCTCCAAACAGTGGGGATGTTTGAGTTCCATCTAGTGAGTACTCATCTTCAGTGATATAGACAAGTTTTTTGACAATTTCATCAGGAGTCCTTCCCTTAGGAATAACTACTTTATCAGGTTCGTCCGCCACTGGAATTAAACAGCCTAAGCAAAGAATAATATGAACATCAGTATATAAACACTAAGTTTTCACCACTTCTTTTCAATATGACAACTAAACACCAAGTTAAAAACATAAAAGAAAGGCCAATTGCATAATCTTACGGTGCTGCGCCTTCGCAATAAATCCCATCGAGTCTAAGATCGTGAAAACCTTACTTTCTTTATTACAAATTGCTGTGTTTCAAAAGAAAACCAAAAAAACCACCTTCATCATGAATCACAAACTAAGTGATCTTGAAACAGGACTCAAATATACTAAATAGTAAATACATATAAATACAGGAGAAGGTACCGGAGAAAAAAGCAATAGATGATTGGCAAGACCAAACATGAAAGAGGGAGGCAATGAGAATCAGCAACATCCATAAAATTCCACCGACAAGGAATAATCGAATGAATCCCTTCTTCCAAACAATCTTAATTGGGTAATCTGCAGGCAACTTTCCGGGAAAAAATAAACCTCCTTCAACGTCTGCAACCATCACAACCCAAAATCCATCACGCTACAGAAAATAACCAGTATAGGATACCCAAAATCCAGGAACATATTGCACCAAAGACCGCAATCTTCAAAAAAACTCCAACACAAGTCACACAATATAACCGACGAATCGAATACATAAAAATACAGCAGAATAAGTCCAAGCAATTTATAATTACCTCTAACCTGCTGATTCTGAACATTACGCTCTCCTCTACGGTTCACCCGCAAAGAAAGCGATCTCTGGAACTCGCTATCCATAATGACAATCTCAACTTCTCATTTCTATAATAACAAGACGAGCAAATAAATCCACGTTTAAATTAGGCGTCCTCGGAATGACGATCTCTCCGCTCGCCCAATCTTCCGTTTCAATATCTTTAATATCTACTGTTACCAGATCATTCTGAAAACGAAAACATAAGAATGGAAGAAAACTCAGATCTGGAGAACACATGGAATCAACAGAAAGTGGTACAGAGCTGAAATTCGAGCAGCAAACCGCAAACGTCGCCCTCTCGAAAATTGAAGCACAGAAAAGAAGTATGAATTGGGTGAAAACATTACTCACTACTTCGAAATGGAATTCTCAGGGCTCAATCAGAAGCGAATTGCCAGTAGAGAAGATTTCTTGCCTCTTTCGTTGCACTGCCCACATTCACTGTATGAATTTTTGCCGGGATTTTGAGAACCGATTGCTCATAAATGGGGGATGGGTTATTTTGATGTTTGGACGAAAATACCCTCCGGATCGAAGAACTAGTTTTTAAATAATTGTAAATTTGGCATATTAACTCGACATAATTAATAACTTTTTAATTTTTTTTGACATTAATAACTTTTTAATTTGTAAATCGCATTAGAATTTAGAAATTCATAAAGTTGTATTTCTCTACCTTTTATTTTTTTGTAACCATTATATTTTTTATTACATACTTTTTTATTAAGTTCAAATAGTTGGAACACCTTTTTTTAAGTTGGAGGTTCAGTCTCAAATCTGTTAAGTATCCTTTTATTTTAAACTCCATTTATTTAATGAACCACATAGTTTTTTAATTTTAAAGAAACAAGCTTTCAGTTTCAACACACTTCGAAATTTTTGTAAAAAAAAGAAAAAACATTCGAAATTGGTACTATTTTATCTTTTAGGATAATTGAATTTTATCATAATAACATCCGACAAAATCAAAAGTTACATTAAAACCAGCGACATTTTTTTTTCTTTTCTTGAAAAACCAAATCACATAAGCACAGCACTGTTATATTTTTATTTTTCTGACATTTTGAAATAAGTTGTAAAAGAATTTTTATCATAGAACTTTATTATCTCTTGTCATAATAAAGCTTCTACAAACCATAAACTCACAAGTAAAAGAACCCAACTTAGTAAACTCATTCTACTGGAAATGAAATCCATTGCTCGGTGCAATCTAAACACAAGTTCTAAAAACCTAAATTTTTTAACTCTAAAATTCGGAGTAGGTGATCGAGTGAGTCCTCAAAAACCTGAACGATTTCGATCACTCTCAAAAGATTAAGGAAGATGCTGCATCCCTTTCGATAGCTCTTGGTTTCCCAGGGATAGCAATCGGCATTTCATGCTTGCTGCCCTGCGAAATTCGACTTTTTATCATTTTTGTTGATGGAGCAATTAATTAAAAAAAGAGTCATTCCCAAGTAAGATGTGCCATAAAATATCAAATTCATGGTGGATGGAAAAAATAACTAATTCTACATTGTCAATATTCCAACTGAAATTGAACAGACCTAAAATTGAACATTCTTATTCTGAAACACTACGACTCAATCTCAAGCTTTCAGATAACATATTGAAGAACAATATATTGTTCAAACTCAAACTCTATGATTTTTCCGCAATTCAGAACTGAAGCAGCAAATTACAGAAGACCGAAGCAACTCGAGTCATATCTAAAAATCATAGAATGGCAGGCAGCAAACGTCACCTATTCCAAAGACAACATAAGAAATCAGCAGCCAGCCAAACCCAATCCTTGTTGATAGTTATGCCGAACAATGCACGGTGACCAGATTGATGATCAAACATAAGTTCCCAACTTATTATTTTTCGTAACTGGAAATGTCCAGGAGAAAGGGTCTGTTAAAGATTGTGGAACCATAGGGAAATGAAGTTCGAAGGATGGTCAATACTTCGATGAAGATGCCTCGACTTCATATATCACAATTGTACACTCTCTCGTAGCGAAACAAAAAACAAACATTAATCTCTTTAATTTCTGAAGTTCCCGGGTGTCTAAACTAGAAAGCTGGATATTACTGAAACCAGGTGCAAGAAACCACAACCAAAGCCACCCTACTATTCTTCTAGCTGGTGGAGGGATCAATGTCAAAATATATCTATATATATCCAATAAGACCTGCAACCGAAGAACAATTCAGTTGACATGATATACCATATCTAACCAAATTCCCTGGTAAACATCCTTCTCCATGTCCCTGCCTAAAATTGTGTACATGGTAGGCTCTCAACCTGATGTGTTGTCCGCTCAAGTATAAGATTATATTATGAGCTGCCACATCGAGAACGACAATCCCTATCGGAACAGGCTTACTTGCTTCACTGAATGTTGACATAGTTCTTGCTATTAACTTCCTCTAACTTTTGGAGCTCCAAAATCAAATTTTGGTAACAATAAACGTAGCTATCAACTAAACAGTGACATGAAATAAATAAACAAATAACCAAGTGAAATATGGTCAAAATATAAAAAGAAAGAAAAACCAATACATGGGCAAAGAGTGTTAGAGATGTTTGATTACACAAGTATAGATGAAAAAATACACTATGTTGCTACTAGCTTTACTTCTAAAAGAAAAGGACCAGCTGACTACTAAAAAACTTTCGACTCTTGTGCATCATTCAGCGTACCTTCGATAGAGTAATTGAATTGAATTCAGCAACTTACAGACAAATCTTCAGCAGTATACAGGACACTTATGTGTTTGTCCTTACCATCAATATTCGTTAAATTGCAACAGTGAACAAGAGTCGGGTATTAATTAGAAAATTTTACTTCATATCATACACATCTGGACCATGATTCGCATGCAGTTTCAGCATAAACCATATTTGAAGGTACCTCTCAATGTTCTGCAGTTAAAACATATAAACGAATTGGGAAGATAATTCCTTAGCAGAAATATGGCAACAATACAAACAGAAGTGGCAGCAAGATACTATTCTTTTACCTCAACATTCGTGACAAGAACGATCTCAACTCTTATGGTACAACTGATCTGGGTAGTGCTAACTGCTAAGTTATTGTTTTTGCTTCTCACCAGCCTGTTTTAGTAAACAGAGGAAATTAACGGAAGGGCAGAAAATGATAGATAGAATAAAGTATAATAAATGAAGAATATTTTTATGCTCTTTGAAAATGGAAGTATACTAAGAAAGTCAAAAGTATTTTTGTGGATAGCCTTGATGGGAGGGCTGAATATACGGGTTACAAGATCCTTAACTAGGTATCAGTACTGTGCCCTCCAACTAACTAGTGTAGTCTTTTTTGACGAGTCGTCGACACATTGAGAATGTTGGATGATTCCTTCTGGGGTGCCCTTTCACTATTCATCCTTAGTGGAAGGTATTAAGTGGTGCTATGAACATCTGTCTTCACAGTCAATATGGTCTCCTTTGTGGCTCTCATTTCCAAAGAAAAGCTATGGGTCTTGTGGTTGAATGCTATCAGGCTTATTTCGGATTGTTTGATTAGAAAGGAATGATAGAATTTCCAATAAGAGAGTAGAGTGTTGGAAGAAACTTGGGTTTTTATTGTTTACAATGCCTTCCTTTGGAGCTGTTGTTCTCCCTCTTTGATTACCTCCACTCCAATTGGAATAATCAGGACCCTTAGTCTCATTACTTGCAAAGAAATAGAAGTTAGAAGAATTCACAGAGAGAGAGATACCTTTTGGAGTTTCTTTAAAATGGAATCCTCAAATGCTTGGTAACCAGCTCCGACCAAATTATTCAATCGATTATGCTCTGGCGATCTCTCAGCACTGGGCATCTCCATTGGAGAAACCGGTTGAAGAGGTAAAACTAGCAAAGGGTTAGATAAATCACCGAGCACCGATCTTGTAGAAGCAACCTGAAAGACAAAAATATAGAACCCAAGTATAATTACTACAATAGTTTGAATTGAAGTTTCAAGAAAAATTTAGCTAAAAACAGAGAAAATGGATGGAGAGAAATTTATGGGAAAACTCACTGCAGCATCTTTACTTGACATTACAATGACTGCTGAACCTTTCTTCTTCTTGTTATGCCTAATAACAACATCTTCAACCTCACCAAACTTAGAAAACATATCTCTTAACTTCTCTGCTGTATAATCCTCTCCAATCTTCTCCCATGAAACCTTAAGCATCCTCTCTTTGTCCATTGTAGGTCCAGCATCACCATCACTATTCTTTCCAACTCCCCCAGTCTCCTTCTTTGGTGTAAATGTTGTAGGTGCTCCTTTCTTTGCGTGCATTGCTCGAATCCTTGCAATCTCTTCCTTTAGCTTCCTTGCAATTTTTTCTTCCTCTTCTTGATATTTTGCAGCAGGGTCAGGAGCAAATGCCGATCGTTCTCTTGCTTCAAGGTCCGTCATCATTTTCTGGCGCTTAGAATCACGCTCAGATTGTCGGCGATGCTGCTCACGCTTGACTCTTAGAAGATCATCAAACAATTTCCTTGCCTTCTCATCCTTTAAAATCTCGTAGGATGACTTCAACGTTTGGAAATTCGCATGGGCATTCGGATCATCAGGCCTCTTGTCAGGGTGCAACTCCAAAGCCTTCGCTCTGTACGCTTTAGATATCTCTTTCTCTGTGAGCTTGGCACCTTCATCACCCGAAGGCAAGCCAAGAACAGCATAATGATCAACATCCATGTCTGTCTCAGCTCAGTGAACACCTGATTAAAACACCACAAAATATAAACTATTGAAATTCAGTAGGATATGGCAAGCATACATGTTCAAAATACATCTATATGCATAAAATTCAAGGATACAAGGGATACAAGGTTAACAGAACTTCAATCTGCGAATATAAACTTCAATCAAACAAGTATGAGAAAGATTTCGAAGATGTCCTAAACGCGTAATCTTTCCAGCTTCCAGATTCTTCTCTCTCTCATCAACAATTTATTTCTTAGTTCTGAAATTAGGTTAAATTGTATCATTCGATGAATTGAGATAGAGAGAGCAATCAAAATGAGCAAAGCCAATATAACTAGAATTTTTCATTCAGGAACTAATTTTACCCGGAAATTTCTGATTTCTCCGAGTATCTGATTCAATTGCTTCGTTCTGGTGATGCTTCTTGTCTAAAATTGCAGAAAATTTGTGGTTAATTATTCCTTTGCTCCCGGCTCCTATGAATCAGAGAGAATCAATTGGAGCTGGACGCGACGCAAGTGAAAGAGAACGGTGAGGGGGCCGAAAGAGACGATAAGAGCGGAGAAAACAGATTTCAGAAGAGAGAATTTGACAGAGATCCGGCGCCAGAGAGAGCGCCACCGTCTTCCTAGTTTCAATTCAGGGCGGTTGACTCACTACGAAACGAATCAGCTGGGCTCGACATTAAACCAAAAATTAAACTATTAAAAAAAATATTAAAAGAAATTATACGGTTGTAACTAACCAGTAATTAATTATGTTCAACCCAAAAAATTTCGATAATTATACGGTTGAAAATTTCGGTATCAAAAAATATAGAAATGTCAAGTAAATCATGAAAATTATTTAAATAAACTTTATCTTAGACTAAATTAAGTTATGATTGACCATTTTTAAATAATACATAAATATCATTGTTTACAGAAATCTGTAAAAAAATTTATGAAAATTATGGATGATGAATATTGATAAGATTTTTTCTTTTTGCTTGGCGGTTTTTCTTTTAACAAGTGGATATTAATAAGAATAGTTTGCTTTTTATTTTTTTAATTAGGCTATAATTGAACAATTTTTAATTATCATATCTATAAAATATAAGCAATGTATATATATTAATATAATTTTGGGAAGGATCAGGAAAATTAATAAAATTTGTTTTAAATTTTTAAATAGTAAATAAGACATATATTATAATTTATCATTATTTTATCATCATATTAGTGATATTAATATGTAAATATGAGTAATATTAATATGTCCTCGAAAATAATATAAGTAAATATTAATGTTGACAACCTTCTTTTTCCTTTTTTTGTTTCTAAAATTATATAATTTGACCTTTACGAAACAAATTTTTTAKGTTGGAGAAGGAATAAAAATAATGTGATCGTGTCAAAATCCTATGCACACCATCTATATATATAAGAAATTGTACAAATTTATCGTCGTTACACCTAGAAAAATGCATCAAATAACTTGAATAAAATTTTTTATTTTCAAAATTTCCAAACATACTTTTTCTAGTTAAATAAATAACTTATTTGCTAAGATATATTTTGATTGATACTGTCATATCTAAACTAATATAACTAACAAACACTAATATTTTTATTTATAAAAGTGAACTTAAAATCGGGAGTGCTTCGAAAATATTTCACCGTCTATTATATTTTTCATTGCTACCATTTTATATTAGGTATTAAATATAACTAACTGCATGAGTTATATAGCTTTGGCTTTCTACTAAAGCATATATTAAAAGTTTCCTACGTCTTTTTCTTTATTAGTAGAAAGTTAAAGTTTTTTGTTTACTATTTTGTTCAAAAGAGGATTAGCCCTAAGAGAATTAAACGCTTTTTAACTCTTCTCACATGTTAGAATGTTTCCACACTTTTTTAGTACATTACTTCTATAACACTATATTGCTTTATTTTAATTTTAAAAATTGCTCWAAGCCTTGAATCCTTCATGGGCAGAGCTTTAAAGTAGGAATATAATGAAATTAACCTTAATAATTCCCTCTAACATAACTTCCCCGCAACAAGTCTTAATCTCAAACTTTTGATTTATAAAATATTTTCTTCAACTTTAGGCATATAATCTTCTTAGTCTCAAACTTTTAATTATTGTCTGAATCATAATATTAAAAAAAGTAAACCTCGCATATATACGTCAAGACCAACCATCAAACTTAAGATTTCATATTTATTAGAATTGGTGTGGAGTATCTCTTATTATTTCACTCTCCTAGAAAACCATCTAAATTTCAAATTTTTTAATTATGGTTAAAAAACACATTTGACTCCGGTAACTTTGTTAAAGTAAAGTTTGTAAGATACTATATATATGGTTACAAATTTTAAATTGTAGGGACTAAATTGGTTAAACTATAGGGACTATATATTGTTACCAATCAAAGACTAAATTGCTACCAATTTAAAGTATAGGAACCAAATCGTTATAAACTAAAGTTTAGAGGCTGAATCGTTACTTTGACTAAAAGAACTGAGACCAAATACGTTTTTTAACCTAAAATCTCATGGATACACTAATCTGTATATAATATACTATTTTCCATATTAAAGTATGAACAAAATAAGCTAAATTTAGATGGAGAAAACTATTTTTTTCTTAAAAGAAATGAATGCTTTAATTACACATACAACATTGTATCACAAAAAGGGGGGGAAAAAAGATGACTTATGTGCCCTTCTCCTCAAAACAACTTACACGCAAGTGATACACATTCAAACATTTATTTCGTTAAAGAAATAAACAGTAAAAATTAAATCCATTTCCATAAAAGAAAAAGGATTGATAAAAAAAAATCTAGAGGAGAAGGGGAAAAATAATTTACACTAGAGAAATTAAAAGGAGTTAAAAAAAAAAAACCGAAATTATTTACGATGCTTCGTTTTCAAATTGAATCCATCTCTTCTGGAATGCTCTGTAGCGCCGGACTCCAAGTCGCCGCCGCTAATTTCGCTCGGAGAAGATTCTTCCGCCTTACGAGAGCCAACCGCTGCTCGACGGAGACTGGCGGAGAAGCAACATCTCCGCCTCCACCGCCGCCGCCGCCCATGGCTTCCAGAAATTGAGCTAAATCTGTCTTCCTCACCACCATCTTTATCCGGACGATTCCGTCTTCTTCGCTCTGAGAAACAGAGCCAGCGCTCGCCTTAGCAATGGCTTCCAAAAGACTATTGGCTCTCGCATTTTTCCGGCACCGAGGTCGGAAAAGCCGCCGGAAAGCTCCGTTCGGCGACGCCATCTGCTTCCCTTCGAGCATTTTGTTTTCTGTTATGGTTTGTGTGAATAATGGACGGAATCAGAATCGGAATCGGCGATGTTTATATAGAGAGGGGAACTAAGTAGTTACGAATGTTTGGCGAATATTTAAATTACACCGACGCCCCTGGAAGCTGTATTGCCTTGATTTTGGTTCAAACGGAAAAATTCCTGATTCTACAAATTGAGAAATATAATAATAAAGAATTTATAGGGGCAATTACAAGAAAAAATGTTAGTGTTATTAAGCATATTAAATACCTATATTTTAAAAGATTAAAGAACTTTCTAATTTCAAAGTTTATTTTTCGTTTTTTTCAATGAATACAAGAGGTAGAGTGGGGAATTCAAACTCAATAATTTCTTATTGTACATATGTGTCTTAACTCGTTAAGCTAAGTTTAAGTCTGCAGTAACCTCTGTTATTAAAAACGTATATTGTTAACTAAATTATGAAACAACTATTTTGATGTTTAGTTCAATTTTTATAATATTTATTTTAGTTCCTAAACTTTTGATAAAATTATACTTTGTCATAAATTGTTTAACAAATTGATCTTTTTTTCGTGGCTTTAAGTAGGCGTTTTTTCTCATTGGTGTCACTACCAGAAAATTGTAAATCAGCGACGATAAATTGTGAATTATATATTGTTAACTAAATTATGAAGAAACTGTTTTTTTTGTTGGTCATTTTTTTTGTAGTGCGTGGTGTGGGTGTATATTTGAGAGCGCTACTTATACCGGTTGAGGTTGGTATATCAGGTGGGATGAAAATTGACCATGAAATGATGGTAAGGACTTAAATTGTTATTTTTTGATAAGTCGAGAACTTTTAAAAATTTAGGAACTAAAACATAATAAACTTAAAAGATTAAGGATCTAAAATGAAATTTTTTTTAATACAACAAATGTAAACTGTGGAAGTCTTTTTTTAAGAGTAGTTCCTTCTATCACTAAGCTATACTCATAGATCTAAAATAAGATTCAAATCATAAGAAATTTGATAAATTGTTGTAATAGACAAAATTAATAAATTGTATTTGTTTATGTAAATAATAATAATCAATTATTATAATTATAAAAAGAAAAAAGAAAAAAGAAAAGAAAAAGAAGTCGTTAGTCGTGGAATTAGCCTACCCGCCACATGCAAATCCTGTTTTTGCGGATATTGGAATAATAAACGTATTGGGAATAAATTGAAGGGAAGGGAATACTTTTATAACATATTTTAATGAGGCCAAGGTGATTGGTCAACGAGGGAATTGAGTATATATCTGCACATCGGATTAAACTTACAAATAACTGTCTGATCATATAATATTTAATTATTAAAAAAATAAATAAGAAATTAATTTATAGGTAGGTAAGCTGTTATGAAATTTGAACCTATTACCTTTAAATCTTTTGATTTATCTTGATCCTTAATGGAAAAAAATTGGAGGCATTCTTTTTGAAGAGATTAAATTCGATATTCTGATAAAATATCAATTTTGACCCAAATGGGTGACATTCTTTGAAGAGTTATAAATTCGATACTCTGATAAAATATCAATTTTGACCCAAATTTGGTAGTGGAAAAGAATTGGGGTGGCATTCTTTCCAAGAGATTAAATTCGATATTCTGATAAAATATCAATTTTGACCCAAATTTTGTAACATTTTGATATAGAATAATTTAGATTGTCAAATGATGAGCTAGCTGTTTTCAAAAGACTTTCTTTTATACCCGTTGAAAAAGAGAGATGACATATAACCTAATATTGATTGACTCAATGAATCAATCATATTTCTTGTGATATACATCATCAATATCTAGAGTTGTCAATTGTTTTAAATTCGACTCTTTTGTTTTTAAATTCTACCTACAAAATTATGGAATTAAATATATTATATTATATATTCAGTTAGGTATATTAAGATGTGTGGTATCAGATATCCGTTGACATGTGTTGACATGTCCATTGACATTTCTATGTATCCATAAGGAGTAAATCCATATTTTCATCCTATTAAAAATATTAATAAAATGTCACTAATAATATATACATTAATCATTTTTAACTTATTTAAAAATAGAAAATATTTATTTGTTAATTTAATTTTTTTTATGATGTTTTAATTTCTCTTAACTTTTATATAAACATCTATTTAAAACCTTGGCTAGGTTGGAATATTAGTTTTTATACCAATTAGAGAAGTGAGGAAGATCTTAAACAATATAATATATGTTCAACTGTAAAACTATGCCAACTATGTAAACTTAGAACAAAGTAATTTAAATTGTTGATAGTCCATATTTTATGTAGGTGTCGGGGTTAAGTTGTTCAACCGTAAAACTAAAGCTGTGCCAACTTAGATTTAAAACGGACTATCGCCACGTGGGATTTCTCCAACTTCATGATCCTCAATTTCAGTAGGGTTGGAGAATGATTTTGCGGGATAAGTTTAAACTATTAAGTTTACTCTCCTGAAGTTTTAAAAGTTCCAATTTCTATAGGTATGTTTTGTGTATAGTTTTAATTTGATTTTTATAATTTGATTAAACCTCGTAAAATCGTCTCTTTGCGTACTTTTTACTCCTAAAAACCCGCTATTTCCCAATATTTGTTACTCAACCCTAGTCCTCGTACAATTATTAGTTAACGTATAGTCAATCATATAGAAAAAACTAACTGATCGATCACGCTATGTAAATAAAATATATCCCATATTAATATGATAATAGATCAAGCCATAGGTATAAACTGTTAAGGCATGATTTGATAAAGTTGATTGGACTGCTGGTCTTATAAAATCGGGCAGATTGAGAATAGAGAATGAGTGAATTCTTGACTCGAACAGATGGATCAAAAGATGACATGCCTACAAGAAAGGCAAGCTAGTGTTGATAACATGACGTTAGAATAGCGTACCCTGAAGTATAAGTGAGTATGGGATCTAATTGAAAATTGGATGAATGGTAAGTTTTTCAAGAAGAGAGGAAAACTTCACTCTTCGGCTGGATCACGTTCAGGTGACGTCATGGTGCGACACAGATTGTGGTTGGACGTAATATTGGTCCGATGCAAGTTCGAGCCCATGATGAGGGTTGGGCTGACACGATTGGGCCTACTCCAGGACACAACCCTTCAAGGAAGGGAGGTGTGGCTGCAGTCGCACCCGCAACATGGGTCACGTGCAGGCGCGACCCTTCAAGGAGAGGGGGGCGCGTCCATGGTGGCCGCACCCGCGGAATGTACACCCAACAATGGCCCCCACTCCTGCGTAGAAGCCTGATTTGTTGCTTTTCTGTGAAGGAAAGACTTTTGTGTCGAGCATGATTTTATTGTCATGAGACGAGGAGGTGCGATGCACGACATTGCGGTCACATAGGCGCAGGCCATACTGTTCCATATCATCGTGTGCACATGCGCCACACGTACTTCATGGAAGGCTGATTTGACATTTTTCACTTTCTCTTCCTTCTATAGGAAGGAAAGAAGCTTGATGCCAATTGAATGAGTAAAAGTTGGAATTTATAGGCAGTAGGTAGATGAGAAAAACATTCTCCATCGTAAGCTTTCAATCCCTTTGATTGACTCAATCTGGTTCAAAATTATTCATCTACACTTGTTTGACACGCATGGAGGCCGAGAACATGGAGTCAAATTGTCCCTCCATCCCATTGTTCAATGGTTTTTTAGCTTCTTTCATTTGGCCTTTGGTCCCAAGGGTGGTCAAAATTGTTGGGATGTTACATTGAACGGGGCAGATGAGTGGAGAGTTGCTCCTTGACCCTAAGGCTATTACCTATTACCTTTTCAAATTAACGGTAACTCCTCCAATGTGTGGATTCGATTTCATTGTTTGGCAAAGAATGTCGCAATGTGGCCAATTGATTCGTTGTCGTGCCCCACATTGGGGCAAGAGGAGAGGGAGAGGGAGAGTGAGGCACCTCTCGCACGGTAGTCGATCCCTTACTGAGTGACATGAATGTGGCCGCAGTATCCAAAAATACACGTGGCATTCCCACCGTAAAATGCCCTAGCTCTATAAAGCATTGAAACCTAAATGGTTTTTCGTTGGAGGAGATTGATGGTGGCGGCACCTCCAGAATACGACTTGCCTTCATTCTGACCGAGTTTGGACAACAAGGTCAATACTCTCTTCCTGTCCCACGTTGTCAACTCGGTCAATCACTATGTCACCCTAATTTTTTTTTCCTTTCCGTGCAATTCGAACTCATCCCACCCTGTGCAAGGACATGGAGTTGATGCATGAGGAAGTCTTTGCTTTCTTCATCTACCACTGACGGTGTCCGATTGACCTCAGAGTGGTATCTGAGAGATTGTTCGGGTTATCTCATTTATCACATTCTATTCTTGTCTCAAAGGTTGGTACTGGAGAAGGGATCAGCTGCCAAGAACTTCTTTGCCTTGGTATTTTTGCCCGTTCATTTTTTTCCCTTTGGTCATCCTTTTGGTCATCCTAGTATCTTAGCACAATTATTCTCTACTATTTTTTAGATTATGAGCCTATAGTCAAGCATATCCTATAGGACAAGCTCCTCACCAACATTGCCGAACAGACTCTCAGGGACTGCCGGCTCGACCCGTGAAATTTCATATTTGGGTCTTATAAATCTGCATGGGTTGTTATATTACTTTGTTATTATTAATTTAACCAAAATATTACTTTGTTATTATTAATTTAACCAAAATTATTGGACTAAGGCCACTTAAATACTACCTATACACGTTTGCGTGTGATTGTTAAGATTTCCGTAATTAATGACTAAAATGCACTTGCACACGGCTAATTATGTCAAGCTAGTTGGTTCATATAATTTGTGTGATTATAGAACTATTTCTTAAAGTATAACTACCTTTTTTTTTTAATTTAAGTCGATAGGTTACAAATAAATTAAAAAATTTTAAATATATTTTTGATAATTATTTTATTTGTTGGTTTGGATATTAGCATAAAAACCGATAAATAAAACATAAATGTCAACTAGAGAAAAAATATAATGGGAAGAATTTCAATTTTGAGATTTTTTTAAACCTGGATATCATGTTAAATTAAATATGGTTAAGAGGGTGTTCGAAATTACTTTTTAAGGGGCAACTTGTTTTTAGAGAACGTAGATGTTCGACATATTTATATATCTGAAATTTAAGATACCTTGAATTTTAGATGTCCTTTAGATAGCTACGTTTGGTTTATAGAAAAATTTAAAAGAATGTCCGAAAATATTTGGATAGCCACATTTGTTTTGTAAGATTTGTACATGGAATGTATTTAAATTATGTTTGTTCCCATTGTACTCTTACCCGTCATCATATAATTTACATGTTAAATTTAATATTTGAATATATATAAAAATATTACTTTTATTATTTTAATATTATATTTTTATGTCAATTTAATTTGTACTTGAGTAAAATAAAATAAGACATTATACCATTGACTAAAGTTTATTTTATATCTTAATATAGCATATAAATAAAATGGTATTTAGACATTTACTATGAATTACTGCATACATTTATTTTTATAACAAATGAGAAATAAAGATTATTGATGAAAAATGACGAGGGATAAAATTGTAAATAGAAGATGCCCTCAACACGGGAATTTTAAAAACTCATGTTACAGGAAAACATCTAAAATTGCTTACATATGGGCATCCTACATCTAAAAATATTTGGATATCTAACCTCCGTACCAAATAAACATGATAATCTGGAATGTCCATCTCATAGAAATCTCATATTCCCACAAAACAAATGGTCCCTAAATTTCCTAATAGAAGATATGCAAATATTAGAGACATCTTTCATCTAGCTACCTTCAATTCCCATCCTCGTGACCATTCTAGTAGTATCGTGCACCTAAATAATTGTCAGAGTATTTGAGAAGAGAGAAACAATAATCGTAACGATTTAATTGTTAATAACCTTCAACCTCAGACGAATAAATAGATGTGCAAAACCGAGTCTAACTCAATACTAATTGGTATATATTTCTAATAAAGTAGTTTCGAATTTGATCTTCATATGTTCTACTAAAAAAACGAATAAGTAGATGTTATTTCTAGTTGACTACAGATACACAAAAGTGATGGCACGCGTTCAATAACTCATTCATTTTACACAATTTAAAACTCATTAAAGACACCATTAATGCGAAAAACGTCACCTCTTCTAAATAACTTTAACCCAATAGCGTTTATTATCATTCTAAAGTCTAAATAAATAATAGTGTTTATTGTATATACAAATTTCAAACTCTATATATAATCTTCTTAATTTTCCAAAATCTAAATCCCCTTCAAGCTTCAACAATGGGCATCAGTTTAATTTCTCTTACTAATTTTATTCCTCCAAAACCCTGTCTCTCTCTAACTCCTAAATCCAAACACCACCATTTCACCTTCTTCCCCAAGGCCACACTGAGGAAGAACAAAAAAAGCCCCTCAAGTTTCCATAAAGTACAAGAAGTTCACAGCATTACAGAATTTGAAACCGCTCTTATCCAGGCCAAGGATAGCCTCGTCCTGGTCGAGTTTATCCCCACCGCCCGCAGCCAAACACCCCCTCTCACCGTCCAACTCAGCCAGAGCCAGCAAAACGACGGCGTTTGCTTCGTGTTGGTAAAGGCCGACGAATCGGAAGAAACTAAAGCGCTGTGCAGAAGAGAGAGCGTGAAAAGAATTCCACACTACAATTTTTACAAGAACGAAAAGAAACTCCTTGAAAAATCGAGGCTGAAGGCGGAGGAATTTATCCAGTACGAGCAGTATTACGGGAACTCCCATGGGTCCGTAATCCAGCTCCGTTGTATGGACGACGTGGATAGGCTTATGATGGCTGATCGGACGGCTGCGGGTTGTGGAAAGGTTTTAGTGTTGAATTTGGGCCTGAGCACTTGCGGGCCGTGCGTGAAGATTTATCCGACAATAGTTTGGCTGTCGGCCCAGATGCGAGATGACGTCGTTTTCGCGAGATTGATTGGAGACGACAATGACGGTCGGAATATGGAGTTTTTAAGGAACAATTATGTTGTTCGAGTGCCTGCTTTCTTGTTTATTAGAAATGGGGAGCTTCTTGGAAGCTATGTGGGTTCTCAGAAAGCTTTACTTGTGAAGGAGATATTTGGATACATCGAACGTTCTTGATCTCGAGATCTAACGTAACATTTTAATTTATTGTCGAAATTTTGGAAACAGAAACAAAATTTGTTATCGATTATGGCATGGAATAGAATTAACGTTGATTTTGTTTTAAATTAACATTTTTGGTTTCATGTCTTTATACATCGTTAAAAAATAATTAATAATGCATTATGAAGTCCTGTTAATAAATAATTTGTTACCATTAATAATAATTGTCAAATTCTCATATTTTAAAAAATAATAGAAATAATAAATAGAAATATTAATAAATTATTTAACTAATTAAAGGTATTAATTTTATAAGGTTAAAGTTGTGGGTTAGTTTAACAAACGTAAAAGTTTAAATAAAGATGGACTATAATCTATTTTTTTTATACACAATCCATACATCAGATTTTTCAATCTCAACTTTAACAAATACAAACTTTAAAAAAGAAAAAAGAAAAAGTTTAATAAATACCAATATGTATTAAAATAATTTGATAGAGAATTATTTCTTTTTGCCTTTTAGCAAACTTCGAGGGTTCAAAACTCGGGAATCGGCCATTGACCAATCCACGTCGGTCGGACAAAAATGTAATACTGTTCTAGAAAATATTTTCCTTTACCTTCGGAAAAAAAATACATATATTCTTTATTTGAAATATTAAAGACAAAAAAAAAATCACTCCACAACATAAATTTATTTTAAAAAATATAACAACTTTTCATTTTTCCAAATATAACATAAATTTAACTTGTTTTTAATGTATTTTACTTTTTATTTCAATTTCAATTTAATATAAATTATATATATATATATATATATATATTTTATATTATTTATATAATTAAATAAAAAATAACCCCAAACCGAAATCAAGCGTTGGTTGGACTGGAATGGCATCATGGGTCTCATCTATTCAAACCCAAACAGAGCACTTTTTTTTTTCTTTTCATTCAATTAAAATGCTACCAATTGTGATAAAAGGAAGCCAGGTTGGCTAATTGAGACCAAGATTGATATCTTTTTTAAGAATAACTGAAATTACAACCTTTTCTTTTTCTCCATTTTATAAAGTTAGTTTAAATTTTTTTATGTCTACTTCAACATTTGTAGGCAAGAGATCAATCTATCCACTTTTAATACGGTAATAAATGTTTAGCTGACTAAATTATGTTCGGATTGAGTTTTAAATTATAATTTGGATGGTTATACCTAATTTTAGAACAATTATTATTTTTGTGCGGGCTATTTTATAGCTCAAATACTGTTTGCCTTTATAATATCCGGACTAGTTTTATGCACATATTTGTACTGTTTATTGAAATCGAGAAAATCAATTAAACTAAAGGAATTAAAGAATGAGAAATTCAGATACTTTACATTGCGAATCAAGTAGCAAGGAAGCTAAGCAATTGAAGGTAAAAAACTTGGGTGGACAACATATTGAAACTCTATGTTGAAAGAATTAGAGCAAGCCACGTAAATCTTGACTGTTCAAGGGCTGCGTTGAAATGCTACAAACGCGAAGAATCAATGTACAAAAAGTTTTTGTAGCATCTCAACGCTCCAAAGTAGACACTCTATCAATTAGAGTATGGTATTGAGCTGTTGTCCCTAACGTCTCAATGTGATGATGGGAACATTAAGACTGTTAGCATACGATCATTTACTGTCACTAGATTAGAAACCAACTACTAAATCACATATGCTCAAACTTGCTCAGTTGGTGACTAAGTCCCACGGATATAGATCTATATAAAAATTTATATAAAAGGGGAAGAGTATATATATATATATATATATATATATATAGCAATTAAATTATAAATTTGGTACCTATAATTTTAAAGGTTTCTAGTTCAAATTTTACCTCTTCGGTCCTTATAAATTTTATTTTTATTATTTTACAAGCAAACAAAACTCGATTCAATTGAAATGCTACCAATTGTGATAAAAGGAAGCCAGGTGGTGTAGGTGGGATGAAGATTGATATCTTTTTTAATAGTAATTGAAATTACAACATTTTGTCTTTTCTTCATTTCATAAAATAAGTTTAAATTTCATTACTCTTTACTTCTAATATGATAATAAAAATTTTGCCGATTGAGTTGGGCTAAGAATGACTTTTAAATTCTATTTTGATAGTTATACCTAATTTTTTTTAAAAAAATTATTATTATTTTGTTATTGACACACTTTTTGGCTATTTTATAGCTTAAATATTATAGGTCTTTAAAATAATCGGATTTAGTTTTATGACATATTTTTACTTTTTGCAAAAATCGAGAAATCCAATGAAACTAAATAAATTAAAGAGATATAATGAGAAATTCAGATACTTCTACCGGACATTGTGATTCAAGTAGCAATAGGAAACTAAGCAATTGAAGGCAAAAACTTGATTGGAAATTGGACAATGAAACTCTATTCTTTCAGAATGCTTGACTACAAGGGCCATGTTGAGATGCTATTAATACGAAGAATCAATGTGCGGCAAGTTTTCATAGCATGTCTCAACGTTTCGAAGTCAACATTCTACCAAAAATAAGATATTCAAAAAATAAAAAGTGAATACTCAATCAAATTAAGGTATCGTATTGAGATGTTGTCCCTAACGTTTCAATGTGATGATGGGAACAATACGATTATTAGAATAAAATAGGAACCAACTACTGAAGCAGATTCACTCAAACTTACTCAATGGACAACTAAGTCTCACCAATATAAATTTTTATAAGAAGAGGAAGCATGACGAAGAAGCATGGACATGAAAATTTATATATAAAGAATGAACATGAAAAAGTGTGTATAAATATATATATCAATTATATGAAAATATATTGATAAAATATGATTAAATTATAAATTTGGTTCAAATTTGGTCCTTATAATTTTAAAAGTTTTAATTCAGTCCTCAAATAATTTGAGCTTGACGTCCTCAAAATTTGGACATTATAATTTTAAGTTCGATAGATTTTTATTTTATTTTTTATTTTTAACCTCTTTGAAAGAGAAATAAATTTCAATTAACATTTTTAATCTTATTATATATAAATCCTGATTTTAATTGCTTCCACGGAATGTTCTACATTATTCAGATTTTAGTCGTTGCCTTACTTACAAGCTACGTTTTTTATTTTTATTTTTTATTTTTACTTTTACTTTTCCTCTTCTCCCTATGTGGTCGCTCACTCAAATTCCCTTTTTCCATAAATACCCCTCTCTCTATACTTTTCTCTCTCTCTCTCTCTCTCTCTTTTTTTTTGTTTAATTTATTTTTCCATCTGACGCCTCATTTTTCTCTGTCCGGCCCCCTCTTTTGTCGATTAAGCGAAAAGCAAAAGCAACTCATTAAACGCGACGCATCTGTGTCTCTGGTTGCTTTTTATTATAAGCCATGAATTTATGACCTTCTAAAAATATAGTTATATAGTTCAAAATTTTCCAAATAAATCTATGAAGTTTCAATTTTATTCAAATGAATTTTGATGTTAATCCCACTCGTCCAATAATTAAACCATCAAATGTTTGAATTTACTCGAAATAATCTTGGAATTTTTATTTGCATTTCGTTTTTTTTTTTACTTTATTTTTAAAATTAAGCCTAAAAACTTGTATTTTGTTGATTTATTATTTACTTTTTTTTAAATGTTATCAAAATTTAAACTAAACTTTAAAAATTAAAAAAATAAATATTTTTTAGAAAAATATTTTTTTAATTTTGAAATTTAGCCAAATTTATTTAAAATATATCGGTCGTTATAAATCAAGTAAAAATTTTGAAATCTGAAAAAAAAAAGACTATCAAACAAGGCTTACATAATATATTTCAATTTTTTCAATAGTGCAACCTGAATCAGTCCAACTGAATAAAATATATAATTCCAACCAAAATGTGATGTGATCGAACTCCCACTTCCATATATTGTACTTACAAAATTTGCATGCAAGAATATCAATTATTTGATAGATTGATTTAATGATGAAAATTTATCGGATACAAAATTTAAATAGAGTAAAGTTTCACTCCAATTCAAACAATTTCAAAGTTTGGAAAGTATTTTGAAATTAATAATTTAATCAACCCCTTTTTCTTTTTCTAAACCTTCGAAAACACTCCCACAGTTAGATGCTTTTCCCCCAAAGGCCCATATATAAGAGAGGAATCACACTCGCTCCAAATTCTAAAAGAGTGAGATATCTTAGTGAGAGAGAAGAGAGAGATGGAGAAGTTGAGTGGAGTAAGTCACCTGTTCGTGACGGTGTTTCTGTCGGCGGTGGCCGGAATCATGGTCATGCCGGCGATTACTGACGTCACCATGGCGGCGCTCTGCCCCGGCCGAGACGAGTGTTCCCTCGCCATCTATCTCAGTGGCTTCCAACAGGCGGTAAAAATTTTCCCTTTTTCTTTTTCCATATTTAAATATTTATCTCTGAATAAAAATTTTATAATTTTAGAAAATAAAAAATGTCTCTGCTTTCTTCTACCTTTCTGTTTTTTTAATCAGAAATTTAATAGTTTACCAATTAATAAACCCCTAAGTAGAATTCCATTTTTTGATGTGATTGCTTTTCTCCTCTTTTGTTTTTTTTGTTTTTTTTTTTGCTCCTTTCTTTTCTGATGTTCTTCCAAGCTTTTGCAACGTGCATGGCATTAGCATGGCTACTTTTTCTTTTCTCCCTCAAGGAAAGGAGGGGACGTAATTACCTTCCTTAATTACTAAGTTAAAAAACTATATCAAAAGTTAAGATTTTACAATTTAATCTCTAATTTGCCTCTATTGAATTTCTATAATTGAGTGATTATATGTTGGAACAAGGAGCTCTTATTATATTAAATTATCTCTAGATTAAAAAAATTAAGCTAATAAGTGGTATATATTTAAATTTTTAATGCATAATATTCTTGAACAACATGTCATAGACCTTTTTTTTTTTCCTTCTTGAGAGTAAATCGAGTGGTTTTGATCATAGATTTTAGAGCGTTTTACTTGCTGGGTAGGTTTTGTGTAATCTAGAAAATGTTATAAAGTTGAGATTTTATAATTTTAGCTGCTAAATTTACTTATTCAGAATTCTATATCTTATGTGGATTCAAAAATTAGATAAGATATCTGGCATCTTCACCTTTAATAATTAAATTTAAAAGAAAAAGAACATTTCTTTTTTATCTTACGAAACTAACATAATCTCAAACAACTGATAAAACCCAGGCTTGGAAAAGACCATCTTTTTTAGGCTACACAATACTTAAAAAATTACAAATCCACATGTCAGTTATCAACTACCCAAATTCCCCAAAAAAAGAAAAATTTTATTTTCTCAAAATTTAGATATAAAGTACGTAAATGTGTGGGTTCCAATTCTCACCTGGATCGTCATTAAATATTTTACCACTCAAGAGAAAAATATAAAAATAAAAATCTATTTTAAAAAATAATGAGCTGTCAATTTTTGTAAGCGTGTCCCAAGTATTTTTACAAATATATGTATATATATATACGATGCAAACAGGAAGTGAGGGCTAAAATGGTAAATATATTCTTTATAGACAAAACAACTGCCGGAAGAGAGGAATGTCCAAAATTCCTCGCAAACAAAAGAAAAAAAAAGTTTAAAATAGTGGGCCCCAGGCATTTTGTCGCCACTCTCCCCGACGGGCAACCGTCCACCGGCCAACTCCGTCACCTTCCTTTTTGTGACATTACTCATTAGTGAGAGTAAAGGAAGGTGAGAGCAGCCTGATGCAACTCCATAACCTTCTTGAGCATTGGGGAAGTTTTTTCCCCACTTTCAAACTTCCCCAACTAGTGCTCCACTTTTTCCCTACTTGAAGTGAACATCTCATCTTCATTTTTTCCTAATTTAAGAATATCATGACCAATTAAATATAATTCAATTCTACAATCAAAATTACAAAATTAGTATAAACATAGATATTATGATAATCAAAACATAATACTTAGTTAACCATTTATAACATCTTCTAACGTTGTAGGTTGGATTTTATTTTTTGGGATATGAAATTTTAAGTTGTGTTTGAGAGTACTTTTGGCATGACCGATCGTACTTCTTTATTAGGACCACCATGTTTTGGAGTAATACAAAAGCGTCGGTTGAAAAAAATAAGAGACAAAAAATACTAAAGTATTCAACCAACTCCCTAAATACTTTTCAAAAGTTACTTCTTATAGTTTAAAACAAAGTGTATAATTGCTTATAGTTCGAGTACTTTTATCTCGACGACACTTGTTCAAGAACCACTCCCAACCACTTTTTTTTAGTAGAGTAACATGGGTGAATGTTGGAACACACAATCTTTTAGTTAAAGATACATAGAACTGTTGACCTTGAACACATGTTAATTCCTATTAGTTACTTAGGTTTCATTTTGGTCTATATGATTTTTTTTTTAATTTTCTTATTTAGTATACAATTTTAAAAGAAAAAAAAAGTAAAATCAAAAAGTTTAATCCTTGAATTTTTATTTTGTCTCTAACATGTACCTTAACTTAAAAAAAAATCTATTGGGTCCTAAATTTTCAACTTTGTGACTAAGATCATTAAACTCTAAAAGTGTCTAATAATATATTCCTGCCTAATAAATTTACAATCGATTTGAATTTTTTTWAAAAAATTAACTAATCTATTAGACATAAAATTGAATTAAAATCATAAACTTTCAAGTGTCTAACAGGTCTATAATATATTTTAAAAATAACAAATAAGTCAAGGATATTATACATCATATTGAATCTATTAGATACTTTTAAACTCCAAGAACCCTATTTACACACAAAATTGAAAGTTTTATAACTCATTAAATACATTTTAAAATTCAAAACCTTGTTAAACACAAAAGTTCGAAATACCTCACACATGACACTATTTAAAGTTCATGATCTTAATAGGCGTAAAGTTTAGAAACTAAACTTATAATTTAATTATAAAAATGTCTCATAACTTTGTCGTTTGTTTCAAAAATATCTTTATCATTTTCTAACGTTTCAATACTACCCTTGATTTTTCATAAACATTTTAAAAACAATATCATTTGAGCAAACATACGTTAATATTTTGGATGAAAAAATTAATGCGGCAGAATCTAAAATAATATACAATTAATTTATATGATATGTCATTGTTTCTACCAATGAATTTTATCGTTCAAATTTAGTATAGTGTCAACTAATTGTTCAACAAACTCTTATTAATTATGGTATCTTTTCATTCTATAACATCAACTATACATTTGAAATATTAATATCATATTAATAAATATTTGTTTAAAGAATATTTTTGAAACGTCGGTGAAAAATCTCTTTTAAAAACGAGACTATTTTTAAAAGAAATGACATTAAAACTAATGTAAGTGCGTGGGGATATGATTTTTGTAATTTGCAGATAACGGGATTGGGAGCGGTGGTGATGACGCCATTAATAGGGAATCTGTCGGACAAGTACGGCAGGAAAGCGCTGCTCACGCTTCCGATGACAGTTTCCATTATCCCACTCGGTAAATTTTTTTTCTTTGCTTTTAATAATGAATGTTGTTTCATGTTTGGGTGGTGTTTGTTTCCTCGGCCACCTTTATCCTGTTCCTGGCTAGTGCGCGATTCCATGCACGTTTAATCAACTAGATTCCCCTTCATTTTTCGTTTCTAAAGCCTTCTTCTCATTCATCGATTGCTTTTGTCGGAGTGTAAATTTTGAAACGGTGGCCCACGTGTCCTGTGCACGCGTCGCCGCTAAAAAAGGGTACAGGAAATATTTTAGACTTTTAGTTTAATTTCTATTTTAATTCCTTGTCGATTTAATTTGGATATTTATCCTTTTATAAATTTTAGGTTTAAACAAACTCAAAATAATATCAATCATAATAATAAATTAGACTTTTTTTTTTGGGAGGATGGGGAAATAAATTAGACTTAAATACTATTTTACTTTTATGTAATTTTAGCGTTTGTATATTTTATCTATACATTTTTTTTTATATTTTAATTATTATGCTTTAAAACATCTATTTTGATTTTAATATCGTAAAATTTTGTCAGATTGTATATTATTTAAAAGTCTATTTCAATTATTGTATTTTTAAAAATGATCGTTCTAATCTCGTTTGCAAAGTTCTTATACAAATTATACACAACAAAAAAACAAAACCATTTATTATAAAGCTATGACAATATAATTTCGATAAATTCATTAATTGTAGTGTTTGTGATAAAAAAAATAGACAAAAAAAATCGAGAGACCAAAATAATCACTTTTTAATTTTGAAAAGTAAAAGACAAAATAGATAAAAGCTTAAAGTGAAATATATGAACCAAAATGTATAATTTAAAAATATAGACTAAAATTGATCAAAATTAAAAATATATTGATTAAAATATTTTTACTTTTTGGGAAGTAAAATGACAAAACTAGATAAAAGGTTAGAGTAGAAATATATGAATAAAAATGTACCATTTGAAAACATAGACTAAAATAGATAAAAATTAAAAATGTATCGATTAAAATAGCAACTAAACCAAAATAAATTTTTAACCCAATGTTGAAATAGGTTAAAAAAATAATAATTTATAAAGACATTCGTAAAATTGAAAATTCAAACAAATTAAGGGACTAAATTGAGAATAATCTTGGAAGGAAAAAAAAAGGAAAAGAAAAAACGCGGGTATTGGATTTCAAAGGATCAAAAAACTGGAAGAGATGCGCTAATGGCGATTTTCATCATTGTTGCGCAGCGATATTGGCATATAGCAGAGAAAGAAATTTCTTCTATGCATATTATGCCGTCAAGACTCTCACGTCCATGGTCACTGAGGGCACCGCCGGCTGCCTCGCTCTCGCTTATCTGGTAATTTCATTGCTTTCTTCTTCCAATTCAGTGCAATTTTCAGGCCATTCTACTCAATTTGATCTTCCGGTTTCATTTTTAGGCAGACTACACTTCACCGGCAAAACGAGCGTCGGCATTCAGTTTGCTTGCTGGAGTAGGCTCTGCTGCTTTTGTTTGTGGAACCATAGCATCTCGCTTCATCGCCACGGCCTACCTTTTTCCGGTACTTATTGTTCTTCGTTCGCAAACGGAATCGATCTCTTATTCTGTAGTTTTATGTTTCGAGATGCAATTGTAGTTATGTTGTTATTGTTCTTCTGTTGATTTCGATTAGATTCCTGCAATTTTCTCTATGATCGCAACTGTCTACTGATTTCTTATTCTGTGTGTATGTTTCGAGATTAAATGGTAATGTTGTTATTGTTCTGCTGTATATGTGGATCAGATTTCTCTTATTCTATAGTTTTATGTTTCGAGATGCAACGGTAGTTATGTTGTTACTGTTCTGCTTTGATTTCGATTAGATTTCTGCAATTTCCTCTATGATCGCAACTGTCTACTGATTTCTTATTCTGTGATGTATGTTTCGAGATTCAATGGTAGTAATGTTGTTATTGTTCTGCTTTATATGTCGATCAGAATGCTGCAATTTCTTCTATGATCGCAATTGTCTTCTGACCTCTTATCTTATGGTTTATGTTTCGAGATTTGATGGTAGTGATAGTGTATTGTTCTGCTGTTTGTTTCGATCAGATTTCTGCGATTTCCTCTGTGATTGCAACTACGCATGAGAATGTTCATCTATGATCCCAACTGTCTACTGACCTCTTATTCTGCTGTTTATGTTTCGAGGTTCAATGGTAGTGATATTGTTATCGTTCTGCTGTATATTTTGATCAGATCGCTGCAATTTCCTCTATGGTCGCAACTGTATACATGAGAATCTTTCTTGAGGATGGTTTGCCAGTTGAAAGTGATTTAGTGCAGCCAATGTTGAAGGATGAAGTGCCAGAACTGACTGGCCGCGAAGACGACGCTGGTAAGTTGCCGAGACCGACACCGGGTTTCAGAAAAATTCCGACTCTGAATGATGTTACTACCTTACTCAAGAGCAGGTAAATGAGAGTTGTCAGCCATCTGCTTGTTCATTTTACAGTGAGAGCTATGGCGACTCTGCAGTAGGCCATTCTATTTAGTAACAATAGGACTTACGACCCCTTTGTTCGCAATTGCAGTACGCTACTTTCACTGGCTGCAGTTGTTGTATTCTTCCACGGCCTCGGTGACGGAGGAATGCAAGTCTCTATACTGGTATATCAGTAATTTCCTTCACATATTTAGCGAGATTAAGGCATGCCAGTAACAATTGCTTTGAAATGAAATATCTGGAACAAGTATACTATCAGTTTTGCTCAAGTTTCAGACATACAATTGTTGACATATTAACCAAAGAAAGACTAAATATATACATTATGTCACAAAAATTTTTCACATTCTTAAGTTTAAATGCCTCTACAAATCAGGATTTTATGAGGCTAATTGAATAGAAACACGTTTGGGATTGGATAAAAACAAGTTCCAATGCCTCTACAAATCTCTCTCTCTCATAATTAAATTGTTCCACATTGCAGTATTACTTGAAAGCTCGCTTTCACTTTGATAAGAACCAGTTTGCAGATTTGATGCTACTTTCTGGGGTTACAGGAACTGTATCACAGGTATCCACGCGCTTTACAAGAAGGATCTGCTTATTTATACTGTGCCTTCTGCTCTTCCTCTGTTTTTTTTTCTCTCTTCCTCTTTTAATACGCTGCTTTATACAAATGCTCAGCTGGTCTTGATGCCCCTGTTGGCTCCTGTTCTATCAGAAGAGAAGTTACTTTCAATAGGGCTTTTAGTGGGCACCATAGGCGTAAGTAGCTCGGGCTCATTCCTTAGTTTTTCATCAACAATTTCTTTTCTTTTGTTTCATGTCTGTCGAAAAATACTTACTTTTTACCTATCTTGTGCCGACAACTGTTGAATGCTTGACAGTTATTTTTTTCTAAATTAATAAGTTGTCAAATATTCAACAGTAATCAACATAGAGATAGATTCTTATCTGTAAGGATTATTCACTTAACCAACGTTACTCACTACTTGCCGATTTATTGCAGATGGTCATTAACAGCATTGCTTGGGCAATTTGGGTAATTACCTCTCAATTATATTAATAATTTCTTAAATTCCTCTGTAGTAACTTTTTTCTTTTCTAGAGTTAGATGTGAAGAATTGAACCTCCTCACTACATGGAAAAAAAAACATCAGTTTTTGATATTGTGTGATTATATATATTTGAGATGTAATTAGTTCCCTTATAATTTTTTGTTTTCCAATTCTCATTAACTTTTCTTTCTTGGCCAGGTTCCATATGCTACAACTATTTTTTCCATTATCGGTGTTTTCGTGAATCCAAGTGTAATGTTTTCTATTAATTCCCTTCTATACCTTTCTCTTGACTGATGCATTACAATTATTGCTCATTTGGTTCTGGGATTTATACAGCTATGCAGCATTGTATCAAAACAAGTCGGTCAACATGAGCAGGTAAATTAAAATAAAATCACTGGTGAAGTTGTCATATTTATCGACCATTAAATCAGCTGTCTCATTTAACTATTCATCATTTTTATAGGTTAAATTACCAGTTTACTCAAACTTTAAGGACTGTGTTTAAGAAATTTTAGTGGGTAATAAATACTTTAACTTTTAACTTTCAATTTTATGTCTAAAAGTTCCATGAAGTTTTAAAATGTCGAATAGATTTTTAAACTCTAATTTTGTTTTAAATAGATCCCTAACCTATTAGATATTTCTTAAAATTAAATTTCGTGGGTAATTTCTCTAACATTTCAATTCTATGTCTAATAGCGTTTAAAATATCTAATATGTCCTAATATATTCCACAAAATTAAAAATTTATTGAACTATTTGACACTTTAAAGTTTAGAGATTTATGGAAATTTTTTTTTTTTAATTCAAAGACTTAGAACTTATAAATTAAATTTAACCTCGTTTTTATGATCTCACAATTTATTTACTCCGTTAGTCTATACCTGATTTCAGGGAAAGGTTCAAGGATGCCTTTCAGGAATAAGCTCTCTCGCCCAAATTGTAGCTCCCTTCATTTTCAGTCCTCTCACAGGTATAGTATATAGACTCGTAAATTTATCTTTGAGACACGAGGGAGTTCTGGATTTGACAATTTTCCGTGGTTGATTCGTATCCAGCTTTATTCTTGTCGGAAAATCCACCCTTCTACTACCCCGGCTTCAGCCTCTTGTGCATAGCCGTCACTTCAGTAAGTACCTAGAGATATATTTGGTAACATATTTGTTTCTTACTTTTTTATAAAAGAAAAATGGAATTGCATAACCATGGATTCAAGAACAATAAAACAATATTTTTATTTATATTAAAAAAAATTGAAAACATAAACCAGAAAAAAAAAGCTTGATTTTGTCATTTCCAAAATTTTTGTTTAATTTTGAGAATCTTTCTAAAAAAATAGAAAACAGAAATGTAAATAGTTGTAAAATATTTAAATTTTTTAATAAAATTGAAAACAAAAAACGGAACGTTATCAAACAAGCTTTTAACTTTAACAACAAAATCTTGTGCAGGTGATTTGTTTAATTCTAAGTGTCATGATGACGACGTCCGCGTCCTCTACTAAAGAAGCAGCAACAGCACTGAAGCCTAGCCATTTGTGAATCTAAGAACTTCGTATGTACATAATATATATGGCGTTGAAGATGAAACCTGTCCTATACCATATAATCTACGATTTAGGATGTGGTACTCATTCTGAAGCAAGAATATATATATATATATATTTATTGAGCCTCACATTTCAAGTGGCAATAGATGATCTTTGAGAAAATGGCCAAGGAGACAAGGAGAATTCGTTCTTGGATCTTGCTGGTGTGTTATCAAACTCTTAAAATTTTGCATTAATAGTCATTGTAACTAGTTTTTTAGTAGAATATGCAGAAGTAGAGATTTGAACTCATCACCTTTCAGTCGGAGATTGATATCTTAACCACAGCTATGCTAAGTTAGCAGTAATTGTAACCTATTGTGTGCTAGAATATATTTCTTTCACTTCTCTCTCAGATTTTTATCTTCCAAACTTTTTTGTCTTTAAGATTTCCCTTTCTAGATTCTCTTGCTAAATTTTATGTTCCCTTGGTGTAACATTCTTTATAACATATTATATCTCTCTTTCTTTTTTCTCTTTTAACCTTTTTAAAACAGAATACCAAAAGTAATTATTATTTGGTATTCTATCTTTAGATTTCAAAAACAGAAACCATACCAAACTTTTCTGATTTTTATTTGAGGAAAACACAATAGAAAATAGAAAACCTAAAGATAAAAATAGTTATCGTCTACAATGTAAAAAATAGAATTAGCCAAAAGTTTAGATATCAAAACCATATTTAAAACCCTAATTAGCCGAATTTGCTTTGATTGTAGAAGATAAATTGGACATTGTCTTAAAAAAAGAGAAAAAAGGGTGATAAATTGGACATTCTCTTGTCTCTATTTTCAAATATCAGAAACTTTAAGTATCCTGGAAGAATAAAACTTAGATATTTACGGTTAAGTATAAGCAACGAGTTCCAATTATAAGAATCAACTCGGCATAAGCCACATGACATCAATTCCAAAGAAAGAAAAAACAGGTACTTACAAGTAGGTAGGTGTCTTCCTACTTACCACCATTAAAAATTGACGACTTCTTTATTATATACATTAATCTTAAATACTCAATTAAGCACATAAATTTTATCCATTTCTAAATACTCACAAAGCGAAACTGCTATATATCTACCAATGGCCCAAGTGATTTAATTCTCTAAAAATTTGAGCCCAAAGACTTCTCCAGCCCCAGCATAAGGACAATCATGTCCATTTTATTCCTAAAGTTGTCTGATACCAATTGAAAAAGGACTAATAAATCCCAACCAAACATTAATTCATTGAAGAAATTTAAGTCCATTGAGTTGGCTCAGCTGTAAACCAATCATTATTCTTCTCTTTTCTTCCTACATATCACATCACAGATTCACAGCCATAGAACAAAAAATAGGTTTAATTGCAACTAAGCTTTAATGAAGAAAATTAAGAGGTCAAAAGCACTTTAAAATTATTTCACTGGTTGACCTGCAGAATTAAGGTATTCAATTTCTATGTCCAAATCGGGTTCCTATATGATATATAGAACAATATATATAACAAATAATTGTACTTGTACAAAAGAGTCCAGAATGTACATACTCCGTGAGTGATGAGCACATTATTTACCTCATTGTATCGGGTATATATCATCGCTTCCATCGTCCAGATATTTGAAGTTTACATCGCCCCATCCATTACTCCCATAGTTAAAACTCGGGTTGATGTAGCATTTCATCTCATGAAACAGGTTCAAGTTGTCCACGAGCTTGTGGTATGCACTGCATCCACAACACTACAAGAGCGAAAGCAAGGACGAACCCGATTAGGTTGGCGTCAATTTGTAATTTATTTCTCTACAAATTTGTGTCTAATTGTCCACCTACAGCTTTCGGCAACACATTTGAACCAAGAACTAAAATAACTGAGAGAATATGAGCCAACATGCAGAACAACGTTCTGAAAAGGGGGCCTGGCACCTAGGCGCACTTCCCAGAAAAGCCCCCTAGAAGCAAGGCACCCTTAAAAAAGGTGCTTGAGGTGTGCGCCTCAGCGCCTAACCACTTATATATATATATATATATATATATATATTTATTTATTTATAAAAAGAAACTTAGAAATATTCTTCAACTCTCTCCGCCCAAAAAAAAAAAAAACATTTTTCTATTTTTCGTCACAAAAAAGTATTTTCTGCACCTCATTAGGCTGCTATCAGAACTCAAAGATTAATGTGTTCTGTTGTATGATTTCTTTGACACCAATTCTTTACGAAACGGAAATTGTATAAAATCATTTCGGTAAGAAACCTCACCCAAAAAAGTGAAAACTATATGCTTCTAATGCTTCTAATTTGTAGATAAACTCAAATGGTCAAAATAAATTGCACTAAGTGTGTGAAATCTTACCTGCACAAACACAGTGCCATCAGTATAAGCATGGGGGTTGATGGCTCGTGTCGTTCGTTGCCCACAAATGTTACAAGTAAAAGCCACAAGCATTCTTCGACGAGGAGATTTCGTGAAAAGTGACCATGGGAAAGTGGAGATATTCTCAGTGCTTGATTTGCCCTCCAATCCAGCCGGAGCTGAGGGACCTTCCATGCCAGACCCTGTCGTCCATCCTCTTCCCGTGGCTGCGCTAAGCACCACTCCCATGGCAACATCCTAAAGCGGAAAGGAAAATAAACAGGAAAACTTTACAGTGTACAGGAAGCTTCAATAAGATCGAATGGCAAAACAAAAAAGTCCATATATCTAATTTAGTTCTAGGATTCAATCCAACCAAGTGCAATTTGCACCTATAAAGGTTCACGAACTCTCTTATTCCAGAATCATCATTTTCTTCTTACAGAAATTACAGAAAATAAATAACAATTCTATTTCTCTCTAGTGTAGTTCTTTCTCCTTCTTCTTCTTCTTCTTGTTTTTTTTTTTTTTAAGAAGAATTTTAGAAGGAAAAAAAAGAAAGAAAACAAGTAGGGAACAACGAGATCAAAACAAGTAGTTGGATGAATGATAATCCATGAACTTTATCTTAAATTAGCAGAAACATAACGAAGAGAGCATTAAAATAAGGAAACAATAGCAACACAGAGAGGATACCTTCGAAAGAGGGGAAAGAGAGAGGTGGCGTTTACTTAGGATTGGAAGGTTCCTAATGTTATTCGAATCAGTCTGAGAATCAGATTCGTTCTCGTTACCTGAAGATAGATTACAAAACTTAAGCAGGCAACTCAAAACAAGAAACATAAAATCAATAATACAACAAAATTCCTTCCAAGACGAAACAAAATCAAACGATAAGCAGGATCTTTCAGCAAGCGCTTCGACAACACACACCGATTGCGAATTTCCTCAAATTTCCTCAAAGAAAGATGTAAACAAACAAAAGAACAAAAACCGGAGCAGAAATCAGACACAAACTACGAATACCTTTCGAGGCGTGCGGAACTTGAAAAGATCTGAGAGAAGGAATCCTATTGGGCAAAGACATTGAAAAAGAAGAAGAGGAGGAGACGATCGCAGCAGGAGAAGCGTTGATTAGAGACTCCATAGCTCGAAAACTCGAAAACTGGAACGCAGAGGAACAGCCTCCGTAGCAGGAGTTGAGAATCAGAATTCAGAAGAAAGAAGCCAATTCGGCACCAAAAATATCGCGGGGACTGGGAGAGAGCGTAGAGTTTTGAGGACACGAACGATATATAGTCGGTGGGCCTACTTTTCGTCATCCGGCCCATTACAATTTGGTGAGATTGGATCCACAAACTGAATTACTACACGTCTTCTGATTAATTAAATTGTTTTTTTAATTAATTCATATAGTATAATATTTGTTTACTTCTAAATAAGATAATGTCAAGGTTTACGTGATATTTTAAATACTTAATCTTTAACTTCACATTGTAGGAGATTGACTTTGAACATTAACTTGAAGACAAGACTTTCTTCTTTTACTTTAATTATATTATGCTAAGTTATTAATTAAATAAGCTTAAACCATTATGAGTTGATTTAATATTTTTTAATTTTTAGAAACACACGCGTTTTTCTAATTTCTTACTTTGAAAAAAAAATCTAAAATTGCATAAAAATTTTGCAAATTTCTTTTTTCATGTTCTTGTTTCCATTTTTTTTCCGATAAAACATTATTTTATTAATTTTTACTCGGAAAATGCATAATTAATATTAAAAATATATATAACATAAAATTTTTAATTTTCATATAAAAAATTTACTTAATTGAACATGTATTATTTTTTCAATAAAAAAGAAATACCAAGAAATAAGAAACAATCACCAATTTTGTTACTTAATTGAAAAATAAGAAACCAATTGAAGAAGAGAAAACGATCAGGAAAAAAAAAATTACTGAACTGACCTTTCTTAAACCTTTTGGTCAAACTTATGAAGAAAACATTGAAGAAAGATACATAACCCCCCTGATTCAATCAGAACTCATTATGAAAAATTTAAACTTGGAAGGAACAAACAAAACGAGCTGAATCATGAGCACCAACTGAATTTACAGCCGACACAGGAAGAATTAATTAATATAATAGCTAGAACTTATAGCTATTAATTCATATGAAAATTTTAGAGCTCAGATTCATAATGCATGCCTCGGTTCCTCCTATTTTATGCACAATTAGCTATCATGTTATTATTCAATTTTATAGCCAAGAAGAGGTCAGCATAAACATTCTCAATTATATCATTCAATCGTCTTCAGCAGTATCATCACCGTTGTCGTCTGAAGACTCGTCGCTGTTGGCATTGAATGTCAATATCAACTCTAAAATTTCCCTACTTACAGCAGAGTTTTCTCTTCGGCGTTCGGGGCTCGAATTCCGTCTTCGCAGTGAAAACAGTTGCATCATCAGTTCCTCTGGTAAAGCTAAGCGGTGCATCCACCCCCTAGGCTTGGGTTTCTGTCAAATGCAGAGTTCAAACCATTAGATCAGATGAATGATATGAACACCACCGAGTCAACTATCGACATCGTCTACAATTTCATCAAATTCATTAACATTGTCATAAAAATATTCATGTTAAAATTCTATTCAATTTCAACATCAGTGTCACACAAAGCTCCCCTTATCATCGTTGCCTCTATCATCATCATTGAAAATAATAACAATCATCATAAAACCTATGTATATGTTCTTCACCAAGTGAAGGAATTGAACCAGGTATAAACAGAGAAATGAACCTCTGCCCATGACAATAATGTATATCAATATTGGTATTAGCCATAATACTATTCAATATCAAATGTTGGCATGACATCAATTGCCAGGGGAACTCTATGATTTCTTGTCTTTGAAAATAATGCCTATTTGATGAACTCCAAAGAACATAATGCCTATTTGATGTCTTTGAAGAAACACAAATGATTTGTTAAATAAAGGAACCCGAAATTTTAATAAGATCATCACCACAAGATAGCTCGACACATTTCTGATTCATATGACTCTAGAAGTCTACATGCAGAGTCAAGAATACAAAATGGCAGATGTTCTTATCCTTATGGCTGCAGAGGACAACAGGATGGATGCTCTATTTGATTTGTACGATAGAAATCGGCGAATAATGCAAAGAGTCAAATGCCATTTAGAAAGCTATAGTAAAGCATTTATATTAGAATTAAACTGAGATGACATTCCTACCTGTTCAATTTTCTCAGGCAGAGTAGCCCTTTCAAGGGCCTTTGGAGTCCATATCTTGATGTCGCTTTCAATTCCACTACTAGCAAGCATGGTCACGTGAGGATGCGGCTCAATGCAGTTCACGACATCCTCATCTGCTTCCATGACTCGGATTAGCTCTCCACCCTTTTTCTTCCATATAAATATTCTGCCACAATCAGATCCGCTAACGACATACTCACATTTCGGTCCAAAAAAGTTGACACCTTTTACCGTCTCACAGTTTCTATGTCCTTTATAAACTTGTGGACTACCATGTTCAACATTTTCAGCTCCCATTTCACTCGAATCACTACTCATAGATACTGGAGACACTGGATTTGGGTTTGGACCCAAACCCATATCCCTATTAAAGAGATAAATGGATTCATCATTGTATGAGACAAGAAGTTCGCTCAGCTCTGAGTAGGCTAAACCTGTTATTCCCACTTGTTCATCACCAATCAAGTGAGGGGGGCAATAGTAGTCTGTAGGTTGACCAAAATCGGTTGATCCTTCCCCCTTGTACTTGCGAATATCATACAACCGAGCGTACTCATCTGAACCAGCAACAACAAAGAGATTTGGATTTCTTGGATCAATAGTAATTGCATTTAGCTGAATCGATGACATGTAACCTGCCCTATTGTCAATTGATTGGCAAGTGAACAGCTCACTGGCAGCCCCAGTTCTCAGATCAAACTATTAAAAGGAAAAATACAGTATCACACTGCAATTCAGCGATATTAAAGAAGAATGTTCTTTGGAAAAAAAATATAATTTCATGCTTTAAGTTTAGTTACAAATCTTCAAAAAATGTCATGTACTTTGGCCATGAATAAGCATATAACTTATCAAGTTGCAGTAATACTTGGAATGTTGATGGAACTTAAAATAACAACAGAATGAACGATAAAAACTCACATGTTGCACCAATCCATCTTCACCACAAGTATAAAAAATATAAGGGCTCCCAGGTTCAATGGCCAATTTATGAGCTCGCCCTTGATGACTGCCAAGTAATGAAGTTTCCACACGCCCACTATTCAAAATCTGAGCATGTCTCACCTGAATTTCAGCCAATAATACTCTTATTAAGGAATGAATGTTTTTGGTACATAGCACAGATAAACAAGCTTTCTAGTGGGAGAAAACAAAGGAAACATTCTGCCGACAGAAAATAAACAGGCAGTTTTGCTTGAATTGAGAAAAAAATGCAACTCGTTTTTAAACATTAATTTATTAATCAATGCCAGTAAAGAACAAAATTGGGGGAAAAACACATATATTTCCATCTAGCATATTGCTTGATCCTCCCACTTGATGATTGGCTATGATATGTACAGAGGACCGACAACAAAAATACCATATACACAAAAATCAACTTCACTTCTGTGATTTTAATAAGGAAATAGTCTCATCAGCAACAATGAAGCGTAGAGGTGGCTACTGATGAGATAATTTATAATTGCTAAGACATTGATGAGATATCGGTGGAATGAAGAAAAGCAATTTGGATAGCAAATGCCTGGAAACCCTCCTTTTAAACCCCCCTTTTAATGTAAAGTTGCTTTTGGAAGATTGACTGTGAAAATGGCTTCATTTGGATCAGCAAATTTCAATAAGACACAGGATTTAATTAAGATTACTTACATTCAAAGTAGTGGAAAGAGATTGAATAGTGATCCCAGAGAGAAAATAATTCAGATCCAGAGGAATTTTTTGGGCTGATTAAAAGATTCTTTGAAGGGGAAGAAAAAAGAGCTCCGGTGAAGAAAACTTTATTAGGCAGGAAAGAGAAGTAAACAACAGCAAAATTGATCGGAAAGGTCAAAGGAGAGTCTCTATGCCGACAGGAGATCGGAGAAATAAACAGAAAGTGATAATCATCACAAGATGTTACTACAGCGATAACAAGGGAAGATTTCTTGATAATAGACAAAGACACCTGCAAAAAACTTATATTATCAATCTTTTTCACCCTAACAAATCTGGTGTCTCATCAAAGGCTTCAATAAAGAACGGTCACTATTAGGAAGTTTCAATGTGTAAACTTGAAAGGTGGAACAAAAAGAAGACTAAAGCTAGTCTCAACAATCAAATAGAACTCAAATAAGGAATCACTTACTTTGTACTAGCCTCAGATTTTCCCCGAAAATGTAAAAAGGATGAAGAGACTACGAATCACCTCCTTATTCATCATAAGTTTGTGGCTAGGTGGTTATCCCTTTCAAAAACTTTTGTACTAATTTGTTGTTTCCCTAATGACATTGCAGATTGGCCCCTAGAATCGCCTCAGGTGGCGGCTCAAAAGCAACGCTAAATAATTGTGGAAAGGTCCAACCGAAGCACTTTTATGGTCCCTTTGACTATAGAGAAACAATATTAATTTTTAATGATAATTACAAGAGCTTTGATGATTTTCAACTAAATGTACAGCATCCTAAATGAATAAGGAGGGAGGGAGGGAGGGGGAACAAGAGCTCTTGACTTGAAAACTAAATAAGAACCATGTTAGACCACAAGGGTCTAATTCTTTGCCATATTGTCTAGAAAAATCCTGCCCTTCAACTAGATGACATACCTGCCCATCCGCAGCACAAGTCACAATGCATCGGTCATCCGTGTAAGGCATGATTTTTGCTTGAAAAACATTGTTATTATGACCAGACTGAAAAGAGAGCTTGACTTGCCCGGTCTCCCAATTCCAGAGGATTACCCGCCGATCATCAGAACCCGAAACTAGAACGTCACCAGCAGCATTAAAGCTCACAGTGTTGACACAACCTTTGTGCCTCTCCAATTTCCTGTAAATATCAAGTCGCAGCACAAGATCCTGAAATAGCAGTAACACAAGCGATCCTCAGCTAATGAAACGAAACATTAAAACACCTTTAAAAGCACAGATACTAGAAGCCACCCAATACCAGAAACAAGTACAAAAATGCTTCAAGCTAGTAGACTATCCACCGAAACCCGTATAATTTTTTTTAATCAAAACAAAATCCTTTCGAAAAATGCAACACAATCCGATTCTTTCTACTGGGTCCATTCGGTTGTGATCGAACAACAAACGATGACATTTAAAAATCAGAACAACTAACCTGAGAGGATCATTTATAAACACAGAAAAAATTATTGATAAAACAAAAAGTAATAAGGGAAAATCCGGGAGCAATACCTGGGAGGCACCAAGACGGTGAGCGAAATTCCTGGTGGAAAGCTCGCCGACCTCCCGCTTCCAGACATTGACGAGTGCCTTATTGGAATCATCAATTCTGGCCCTCTTGTTCATTGTGGAATCGAAGATGAACGAATCTGAGTTCGATGGGATCAAAATCAGGGAAGCGGGCAGAGAGAGGGCGTTACGGAATCAAGAAGGGCATCGCTATTCGCTGGATTTTGTTAATTGTTAGCCTATGAAGATGAACAGAACAGAACAGTTATTTCGGCGTTCACCGCTTTAAGCAGAAGCAGAGCATCGCAGTCGCTCACACACACAACCATCAAATCAATCTTCCTCTTGAGCTTATCTCACCGCTCTTTCTTATTTACGATTATCAATGATTAAGGCACGTCCAATACATTTTTCGCTTTTCTCCTCTTTTTTTTCTTAATTTCTTTTTTATCCGTAATTACAAATTTCCAAGTTTGTCCCTAACTTTTATAATAGTGTTTATATTGATAGGCACGTGACTCTCGATCTTGTGCCAACTTGAACGTAGATAATTATTTATCTCGACGTTGGAGGTTTGAAAAATCTTTCAATTAATATACATTTTTCTAGAGTCTACAAATCTATTAGATACCATATGAAAAGTTAAAAGGGATTAAGTTTGAAGAAATTTATTTTATTTTGATAAAAATTACTATGAAAAAAAATATATTGATATTTTTTAAATTTGATTATAGTTAAGTTAAAATGTTGGAGGTCAATTTAAATATAGTGGTAAAGACAACAAAAAGATTGAAAAGCCGACTTTTCATCCTCATATATTGTTAAACTAAAAATAATAATAATAATAATAAGTTAAAAGTTCGAGATTGTGTTTATGTCATGAGCTAGTTCAAGAGTGGTTTTTATATATATTATTTTACTTTTTAAAATATTATTCTAAATTTTAAATTTTAAGATTCTGACTTTGTTTTTCAAAATGTTTTGAAAGTATATGTTAGTAAATAATCGTTATATTTTAAAATATAAAATAAAAAATATTATTATAGAGATCGGCCCTTCAAGGGACGGACTTACCAAGAATGAAGTTGAGTAAGAAACTTCACTCCTCCCCACATATTGTACTAAAAAAACTCCCCCAATTTACTATTCAACTACTCTAAATTACTATCAAACTACTTTGTTTTTATTAATTATACATATTGAAATTTTCTAAATTGTAATGGAAATATATTGTTTTTATTCATAGATATATATAATTTTCAATTATTGTAGATTATATAAATTATTATTCAATTTGATGTATATGTAGGTTTTTTTTTTTAAAATATATGTATATACAGTTATGTCTTGATATAAAATAAATTTTAAAATGTCAAAATTAAATAATTAAATTTAAACATTTGATGAAATCAAATTAATTAAGTACTTAAATCATCTTAATTCTTGTTCTTTTTTATACATGTTTAAATAATTATAGTCTATAAAAATATATAATTTTAAACGAGTGTCTTAAAAGAAGAATATAGTTTATTTTGAATTTGTAAAAATAAATATACTTAATTTCAAGCGAACAAATATTAAAATAAAATAATATTTTATTTTTTAAATTAGTCATTTTTAAAATAACAAAATAAATTGTATTATATTTTGAACTTATTAAAATAAAATCTATATAAAAATGTCTAATTTTCAAATTAAACACAATAAAAATAACAAATATAGATGTATGATATTCATTTTGAATTTAGTCAATTAAAATAATATAAATATGTATTATTTTATTTTTAATATAGTGAATTTAAAAGAGCTAGAAAATCTCTTTTATTTTCAAGTTAATCAAATTAAAATAACAAAAAGTATAAAAAACAAGTTAATCAAATTAAAATAACAAAAAGTATAAAAAACAAAGTATTTTTATCATTATCATTGCTTAAATAAAATTTTAAGAGAATAAAAATAAATGAAATATATATGTAATCATAACTCATTTAATTTTAAAAAATTATCATAAAATAATATAATTTCACATTTAAATTTTAAAATTGACAATTATAATTTAAAAAAAAAAAAGAAAAAAAAGTAACATAAATCCAATTTACACCACTCGAGACTTAATAATAACTCTATAACTCTGAATATAACACACTTCATAACTTCAGATTTAGAAAGTCTGAAACATGAACACAAATTAAACAACTCCAATTAACTGTCTAGATTTAATAACTCCATACTAATTAACTTTCCTATTTAACAACTCCACCCACCTCAACGTCAAATAGTTAAGTTTTGTATTTTTATTATGTAAAACTAAAATAATTAGAATTTATTTATCCTCTTGTAAATACACTTGCAAAAGTTTGATGCTTTATTGAATTTAAAAGGTATTTTTCATTCTTACATGAATAAGTAATATATTAGAGATATTTTGGCTCGTTTAGTAGTATTTTCATTTCCGTTTCTTCTTTTTAATTAAGAAAATTAGAATTGCATACCTCTGCCTCTCCGGCGCCGGCAAGTCAACCAATCTGGAAAAATCTTCTCGTGCGAAACGCCGGCGGCCTACATGAGCTGCTCCATCAGATTCCCCAATTCGCTGGAGTCCCTCTTCAGTGCTGGAGGCGATGGGGCAATGAGGAAGACTATTATTATTATTATTTACTAACAGAACTGTTAGCATAATTAAGAGAAAGGTTTGATTATAACAAATTGGTATAAGAGGGCAATTGCAACAATCACCGTATTCTGGGTGAGTTGTGCAATTTACCCAAAAAAATAAAAAGAAAAAAAAATCTCACCATTTTACGGGCAAAAAGATGCACTATCAAAAATTATTCAAATACAGTACAACTGCAAATTGAAATGTATAAAATTTAACGCTCATTGATGGAATCTGTGTACATTAATATGTACACATATGAAATACTTTGTTTATATGGTATAAATTTTATCCATGTGTCTTTCTCAAAAAATAAAATCAAATCAAATAATTCCACGTGTGATCAAATTATACAATTGTAGCTCCAAATCAACGAGCTTTTAGATCCAGTTTTAACTGGACAAGAATCTCGATAGTACGAAGGAGAAGCATAATCATCTTTGGCAGTGGTTCTTAAGACCGATCACAGATTCTCGACTTCGTTCTTTGGCTTCCACTCAACTTGACCAATTAATTCATGCCTACTCTCCATGATTTTTGAGTCAAGCCGATTTCCCATTAATTAATTTCAGTGCCATTTTTTATTCGAAAGTATTTTCAAAATCAGGGCATTAGGCGAGAGAAAAAAACAAATTAAAAGAATTTGCTTTCAAACAATTAGAAAGATGCATCCAAGTAATTTTATAAGTATCGAAATTTAGTCCAAGGCAATCTGTTGGAAAGGACTTGGATGTTTTGGTCATACCGGTTTAGAGATCTCAAATTCGAACCTTCCAGTGAATTTAATACCAAATATATATTTTTTATGTCTTCCGAGTTCAGGCAAAAAAACGTATCGGAAACTGAGGGTAGGAATTAATCTACTCACCAAGTATTGGAAGCCAATCAAATTATCTTTAGAAATAAGAATCCACCCGACTATATCCAGCTTCCTTTTGAATATTGTTCTTCTCCATCATCGTTCTCACTTCAGCAGCATCACTCCATCGTCCCACATCGGCATACATATTATACAACAATACATATGAAGCTGAGCTTTTGGGTTCGAGCTTCATCAATGCTTCAGCCGCCACTCGAGCCATCTCGACGTTGTTGTGCACCCTAGAAGCACCCAGTAATGCACCCCACACTGCTTTATCCGGTTCACATGGCATACTATTGATCAAATCCATCGCTTCTTCAAGCTGCCCTTGTCGACCGACGATATCAATAAGGGCGGCATAGTGTTCCACTCGCGGTTCTATACCATGCGTGTTAACCATGGAGTTGAATTCTCTCCTACCTTCCTCAATCAATCCAGCATGAGAACAGGCATTCAGAACAGAAATGAACGTGATATAAGAGGGCTGCACAGTACATTGCTTCATCAATTTGAAAAGTCCAAGAGCCTCGGTTGCAAAGCCATGAGAGGCATACCCGCCGATCATCGCGTTCCAAGATATGACATCTCTCTGCAGATTCATTTCGTCAAAAACAGTCCGTGCCTCGACTATTGCTCCGCATCTCGAATACATAGTAACAAGAGAGTTGTTTATAGGCAAATCTGCAATAAATGCCTTGGTAACTAGCTGATGAATCTGAGTTCCTAAAACCAGATCTACCAATCCAGCACTTGCGCTGAGAACTGACGATAAAGTGTGCCTATCTGGTTTCTTACCTTCAAACTGCATCTGCAAAAAGATGTCAATTGCCCCTTTATAGTCTTCATTTTTCTCACAGCCAGATATCATGGAATTCCATGAGATCAAGCTTTTCTCAGGCATCCTCTTGAAAAGATCATGAGCCAGTTCCAAACTACCTATCTCAGAAAACCCAGATACCATCATATTCCAAGAAAGGGTATCGGGCTTCGGCATTCTACCGAAAAGATTCGAGGCCTCTTTCATATCCAAGATATGAACATAGCCACTGATCATAGTGTTCCATGAAAAAGTATCTCGCTCAATCATGTTATCAAACAGTTCTCGAGCAGAGACTATATCCCCAGCTCTCACATAGCTCATAATCATAGAGTTCCATGAAACCACATTCCTCCCAAAATTGCCACTTTCATCTTTTCGATCACAATGTGAAGGGATGTGATCGAACAGCTTTCGGGCTTGTTCGATCATTCCTTTCTGACCATATCCAGCAATCAAAGTATTATAAGCATGCACTAAATCCTCTCTACCATCACTCTCACCATATTGAAGCAGAATCCTTTCAGCTTCAACCAATTTGTCATTCTGAATCAGCCCTGAAACCAGTGCACTAAGAGAAGCAGAGTCTCGTTCTGGCATCATCTTGAAGAACTCAATAGCTTTCTCCACATAACCATTCATTAAATAACCAGAAACCATGGCATTCCAGGAGATAACATTACGCTCAGGCATGTAATTGAAAAGCTCTTCTGCTTTATCCATCATCCCATTCTTAGCATACCCACTAACCATCGTGTTCCATGAAACGCAATCTCTTTCTGGCATTTTATCGAACAAATTCCGTCCCGCCTCAATGTACCTTCCCCCACAAGATACATATCCCGATAACATCAAGTTCCACGACACAATGTCTCTGTTAGGCATTTCATCAAACATCTGGCGTGCTTCCCTCATCTCCCTCCTTTTTACATACCCTGTGATCATCGTGTTCCACGTTATCGTGTTCCGATGCTTCATGCTATCGAACAATTCCCTCGCTTCATTTATCCGACCTGTTCGAATTAAATTAGACATCCTTTTGTTCAGAGAATAGAATTCCGGAGCCTGAAAGTTGCTGGCTCTTGAAGCAGAAGTGAAACAATTTTGGTTTAACTGAAAATTCACGACGAACATATCCGGACGGCGACGAACATTTTGGCAAGCATAGACGATTCGTGAAGCAGCTGAGTAAAATCTCCGCCGAATCGTCACCAAGTTGGCCATGGAATGGTCCAGTTGATCGTTTACTTGGCATTTGGAGAAGAAAGGAAATCTAGATTCGTTCTAGTTCTGCGTGTGGTTCGATTAAACAAAAAGAAAGTATTTGAAATTAACGAATGAAGCATTCAGCTGAGGAAAGCCGACGAGATTCAGTCGCGCACCACTGTACTAATTCATAACCTTCCCTCGGTTCAAATTCAAACAACCAAGCCATAGAAATTTCACAAATCGGTAATCTGAATGTAGTTGCTAGTTCATTTAGAATAGGATTAAAAATACTGTTTTAATTCTATTTGCATAAAATTTTTCAACTTTTATTACTTCTAAGAAAAATAATTTATCAACTTTTTTCAAAATGTTGCTATTTATTTTTTTTAGATTTGTCTCCCGTTTTATAAATTCCTAAAAATAATATTTTTTTAATACAACAATACCAAGTAAGAGTGAGAATTCGAATTCGCATGCACGTCTTAGTTCAGATTGACAAGACAATAAAATGCATCTAACTTTATTATAATTCATTAATTGTTGTGACATTGATAATTTTTTATATGAATGGAGAGAATATTCTAAAGATTAAAAGAAAGTATAATTAAAAAAAAAAGTAACATGAAAAATATTGATAACAAAAATTAAATAGGAAGAGTGTGAATGTTTAAATACTAAAGTCATTGCCAACGTAAACCTAACTCAATGTTAATTTAATTCTTTTTTAAATGAGAAATACTAAAGTCATTAAATAATAACTAAAATTTCAAAGAATTTTGTGATCTTATAGGGTTAAGAGCACCTGTTAGTTTTCTCTTTTTTTTTTTCCCTTAAATCTTTAAAAGAATATATATAAATAAGTAATTAATTAATTACTGAAAACAATATTTTTACCTTCAAGTTTTTAATTTAGATAGTGGAAACAATCCCTTTTAAATTACCATAATTTGCACATTGATTCTAAATTTCTTTGACAATTAAAAATAATTTCAAATATGCCTGTATTTTATTGAGATATCTCACCTATAGATACTTTGCACGCTATACTAGCTTCGAGTGACATCAAGGATTTCCCCATTATTAAGTTTTCTACTAGCGAGTCCGAGAAATTCTAAGAAACTTTCCTACAAAATCTCAATTACTTGCCAAAAAATCACTACTTAGAGCTTCTCCTTAATATTGGGAAGTTCCCTTAGCATTTCTTTACATTGATATACAAAATATAGTACCCTCTCATGACACTATGCAAAAAAAAAAAAAAAAGAAAGACAACAGATTATATCAGCCAAAACATATAAAAGTAGTTGCACCAAACCTTTGAGTTCTGCGGGTAATAATAGCAAATCTGAATGAGAAATTAGCCATCTCCTTTCCAGAAGAAGTGTTATTTCTTGCTTCATTGTCAGCCTCTATAATCCAAATTTAATCAAAAAGCCTGTAGCATAATCAGTTAAGATATCAGAGATGCTAAAATTAGCAGGTTCATCATCTAGCTAAATGCAGGACTTCATTAGAGGAAAATTTGAAGGAAAATTGTCAAATCAAGGATCTCTTTTAGCACATCCAGGCCTAATCCTGATTCTTGGAAATAAATGCATATATAGGTTCTGTTCTTCAAGAACTACAAAAAAAATGTCCGTATATTCACCCTATTGTGCAAGATCAAGCTAAATTTGCCCTGAACATAGCTTAGCAGATTAAAATATTATATATATATATATATGTGTGTGTGTGTCCTAAATGTCACGTCACACTAAATTTACTCTTATATGCAATACCAATATATGCCATGAGTCTGACACTAAATTTACTCTTATATGCAATACCAATATATGCCATGAATCTATATCTAGACGTGTTATTCTTGGGAATAAATGCATCAAAATCATGATGTTTGTGGATGGGAGAGGAACAAGAATTTTTCGTGACTCCTTACCTCTAGATATCTAAAACCATGGCATCCACCATATGTACATCTTTCCAAGGTTTTTGTGTGAGACTGCTTCAGCAATTAATCGACGAGCCTGACCTTCAACGGCAAGGGGCAAAGATGGTGCAGCTCCAACACCAACAACTACACCTTGTAACCTAGCCTCGATGTTACTGATGGCTCGCTGTAACAGTATCAAGAGATCGTGGCGATTAGCATGAGCAATTCAATTAAGTGTAAGAAAGTAATGAGATTTATGTTAACAACTTTCAGTTTCAAACTCAAAACTCAATAAGTGGTGAAATTATATCCTTAGTTAAACGTTTTTCTTTTTCTTTTTCTAGATTTGAGTGTTTTGCTGTTGAGTTTTAAACACTGTTTTAACTACATATTCTGTGGCCAGATTGGTATATTTTCATGGTTCGGTTTCAATATTTGTTGTGACTTGATTTTGAGTGTTCTATTAGTTGGATAGTGTGTGAATTATTGGTTAGTTCATGAACAAATTTTTGATGAAGTTTTGAAGAAATTATAATTTAGTTCATGAAGGCATGCTTCGGCAATTAGCAGAAGCAACTCAATTCAGTACTACAGTTAACAACATAACATCCTTTTTCTAATTTTTTCTAATTCTAATCATTGCCAACCTACATAAATTTATAGGCTTATTCAAACATAAAGACGTTATGGTTGAATGCATCAGTTATAATTTAGTTGCAACAACTATAACAGACTGTAAGAACAAACAATCAAACCTGAGCATGTGGATTCTGAACTTCAACACCACTGGATTTGTGAGATTTTGTCCACTCCACAAGGGGATCATGGATGAAAGTTTCAAGAATACTCATCAAAGTATCCCTATGAGTCCTCAGTACAGAAAGTGTAATTTCACAAACTCTCAAGAAAATGCCCTCATACCCAGTGATTCCTAATCCGTCGATCATGTTCTGAAGGTAAAATGACAGCACAGACAGCACAGAGACCGAAAATGAAAATTAGGGAAACAAATGTCATCTATTTCGGTAAATATTAAACAGATAAACCCAAAAGGTAACTAAGTTTTGTCAATCATAGCATCTTGATGAACTCCTATTAATGAAAATCTCTACATAGGAAATTTTAGAAATTCATGGTAGGTCATAACTCTTGAATGTAAGAAGAATTGGAAAACTTTATCTGAAGGCCAAAAAACCAATCATGTAGAGTATTCTTACCTGTGTTAGCCTAAAAGGCACCAATTCAGGCTTTTCCAGCTGCAGACCCTTATCAAATAAACAACTGAAATCAACATGAACACAGTCACCAGTAGTAGAATCAAAAAGAATATTTTCACCATGCCTGTCACCTAGCCCCACAATATGTCCGACCATAGACCAAACTGCAGTTGTATGCGTATAGGCTACCCGCGCTCGAAACCAAGCAGCTGGTTCCGAAAAGGTATTAAAAAACCATCTGTGGAAAATGGGAGGGAACATAGGAAGAACTTTTGTCTTCAGCATCTCATCTTCAGGCATTTTACCTTGACACTGATCGTAGATTCGCTTAATTTGAGGATTCGTCTTCTGCCTATCGAACTTACCACAAGTTATATATATGTCTTGCAGTATATGTCTAAGGCCACGAGTATGGGGAACCCATTCTACCATACCACAATCCTCTGTCAGAGGTATCACAGAAAAGGTGCGTATGTAGAGCTTCCTCCGGCGGCTTTCCGGATATTTGGATAATAAACGGTTTATCATTGCTGTGAACTCCATCATGCGAGCATCTTTCCGGAGATCGTCCTTTGGTTTGCAGAGGAATGGTCGCTCAATACCATCACTACCCAATAGAATAATCTGCAGTAGAGAAGGTTTTATGTCATAACAGTCAAGTCATTAGGACATGAGTAATGGATGATTAGTGATTGATTTGAAGAATATAGTAATAGACATGCCCAGGAAGCAACAGAACTTTATTTTATGCCTGTTGGAAGAACCAATATAATTGCGTAATTAAAATTGACAGCGTAGCAGGGAATATCAATTACTTTGCCCGCTCACCTAGGTTGTGTGGACTGGTTTACCACTTTACCTACAGCAGCAAGCTCTAAAAAATGATAATAAATAAATAAAAGAAGAAGAAGAAGCAATCTGCTACTTCGTATCTTAAACAATCAAGTAATAATTATGATGAAAAGATACATCCTCTTCCAAGTGTGAATTTCCACCGCAAAGATTATATGTAATGATATCTTCAAGAGAAGAGAGAAGTGACACGAAAATTCCTTCGTTGGTAAAGATATAGAAAGCAACTTAAACACGATATAAGAAGCAAAATATATAACATGATGCATATATTAAAGCATTTTGCAGAAGTCATAACACTGAAAAAACACCATACTTTCTTAGGCCGCTGAAGTGATGAAAGAATCTCAGCCTCGTCTGCTATTCCTGATATTGTAGGAAGTTCTGTGGCAGAAAAGATATCAGACCTCAGTGAATCAGTGAGATTCACATCATATGCCGGTAGATTAACAACCATAGATTGTTGAATTGGCATAATAATCTCCAATGGCATCATTCTCTTCAATGTGCTAAATTCCGTAGAGATATTAATATTCCTCGCTCTTTGCTGACCAGGGTGGAAGCACAACTTGATTAGATGATCAATTAGACTGGCAAACTGAAGAAATAAATTGTTCCCACTGTTTCCTTGGCTAAAATCTTTTTTTGCAGATTGGATGATCTCCATTGCTGCTTCTCGTCTTGAAGGAACGGTGGATTTTGAAACTGCAGCCATTATCCAAAGAGCTTGCTGTGGGTACTGTCGGACAACAGAGGTAATGATGTGTTTGACCAATCGAACAGTTTCTTCATTCTGATGGCAAATCCTTGAAACTAACTGAGGCAGTACAGCCAACCACTGATACGTTGGCAAATCCTTTAAACAGCCTCGCATGATACTCAGAACCTATAGAAAAACAGGCGAGCAGTAAATAAAAGTAGAAAAAAAGGTGCAACTCAATAGGATCAAAGGAAATCAAAATGACATTTCAGACTAAATTCAGAACCTTTCCATGGACAATTTTCAAATCCTTGTTGGATGATGGACCAACTCTTTGGTAGATGCTCCCAAAGTCAAACCACAAAGTTAACAACCTTGGAAGTGCTTGAAATAGATTCTTGTGACCCCTGTGAAGTCCTTTTGCGTAGAACAAGAGTACATCAGGCACATAAGACCACCAGGGCTTCTCATTATTTAAATTCACAGAGCCAATAGCAGAAGCAGACGATTGGACTTTTCTTGGACCTTGTTCAAGACTCTCTTCCTGGCGTTTCCTGGCATCTGCAAGCAATTCATCACAATATCTAGCCATAAAGAAATATCCTTTCTCCCACTTGGGCTGTAGCTCCTTTACTCTTGAATAAAGATTGATGACATCTTCCTTTTGCTTTTGCCCAGTGCAATGTATCCACCTCGAGTAAAGGAGAAGAGTCTTTGCATTATCTCTATTCTCATTCAAAGCTTGGGTATCACAGATTAATGGAGGTGGATTGATTGGAACCAAGGAAAGGCTTGTTATTGATGACATTGCAGCAGATCCTATGACTGCCACTGGCATATTAAGAAGTGATTGTTGCAATTCTGAGATAGCACCATCAGACCGCCTAGTGCTCCATAAGAGCTTCGCCTTCTCCATATGGACATTAGGTGCACCAGACGCCTGAGCTTCAAGAATTGCACGGTTTGCTGTTTCATAATGACCAGCCGAGCGGCACAGCTTTGCATACTGAAGCCAGCAATTCCCAACTTGAGCACCAAGACCACTAGCACCAAAAACCAATCTTCGGAAGGACAGAAGTGGCTCTCTTGCCCAGAGTGATGACTGAGTAAATTTCAGTCGGTTATCCCAATTTTGAATCACTTCTGAAAATTCGTGATCATCCACGCGAAATGATTTTTCCAAGAACGAATCACTAAAAAGAAGGTTATGGAAGTCCTCTAGCTCTTTCAGTAGGTGAAGTTTCACAACAAATGGATAAGCACGCGTGTAAGAATCCATGCCAGCAGCAGCAAGAGGAGCAATCAGAGATTGCTTGGAGAGAGCAATTTTCTCCGAAACAGAAAACTGATTCTTCTTCATCATTGCCTGCAGAATTTTTGCCACGTCCATGTCAAAGGAAGCATTACTCTCAGAGCTGCTACAAAGAAGGCCTTCTTCATCAGCTCCCTTCAGGTATTCATCCATCAAGTCCCACCTGCCAAGCCTCCAAGCTGCCTGCACTCCTTGCATGCACCATGTTTTCTTGTATTGAGGAATTCTCGTAATTAAACCATCCACATGAGTAACCATGGCCTGAAGGTGGCACATATTTAGCAGACAGTTGAGAACATCTGAATGCCTCTGAACTGAACTTGGTTCCATATGCAAAGCCTGTTCACAAAAAGTCAAAACTTCAGCCCAGTTTCCAGCTTTTTTATTTATCAAAAGTTTGTCCTGTAACCTCAAGGATTTACGTAAACATGCCAAGCCAGATAGACCATCAGGCTCATCAAGATAACTATATATTTCCATGAGATATGAAATATCTTCATCCTCAAAGATGCCACTCCTCTCAGCTGCAGGGTTAAAAGAACCAGATTTTCCTCGTACATATGACTCAAAATACATCAAAGATCTGGCATAGGCCTGACAGCTCAAGGAGGCCCTGGCAAGAGTGATCTTTGGAATTGCATCCAAAAGCTGTGAAACATACCTACACTGCACCAGGAGTTGCTCTTGATCAACTCGAACATTTGAACTTGATTCCTTTGATTTGGCCACCGAATGCTTAGAAGACGATGGCTGACCAGATTGAGAAAGTGACAATCCTTGTTCAACATCATCCACCCACTGTCCAAGATTATCAAGAAGAGTAAACACAGCTTGAATGCAAACATCACTTTGCCCTCCAATATTGCCGTGAATCACAGCCACACCATTCTCTGCAGCTGCAGCATTTAGAACAGACAAGATCTCTTCGGTAATGCCATGTCGTGCTTCCTCTGTACCATGACAGACGGCACTAAGGACTAAATAAGGCAGCAGATAAATAGCCATTTGCATATCATGACGAACTATACCTCGACAAGCATGAAAAACACTTGCACGAGACCCAGTGGCATGTGCAGTTAGCTTCCTTATCCAAAAGAATATCCACCTTCTGAATGACATACCTGGTCGAAAAATGGAACCAACAAATGCAGAGTCGGCCACATTTGGGAGCTGAAATCTTGAGGTTAGGCAAGGTGCTATAATTTCTTTCACATAATCGGAGAAGCGACCCCACAATCTCTGACCCCTCATACTCATCTCATTGCCACCATCAGAAGAATCAGATATGACAGTTTTTGAAGCTTCTTTGTCTTTCAATGTTGGTGACATTGAAGCAGCAGCATTCTCATCCAGTGATGCCTTACACCCAGCAATTTTTAGAAGCTCCTGTATGGCTAATGCCGCCGAGTCTTGAATAATGGTATCTGGAGCAGCTCTAAAAGCCCTAGCTAAATGTTTGTGGATCAACTCAAAGATAAGATCATCATCAGAACATTCAATTTTAAATCGTTGGCATGAAAAACTCTTCAGTTTTGCAGGATCTACAGCACCTAATGCTCCAAGACAATCAGCACAAACCAATTTCAGCCGCTGGCCTACTACTGTCCTTGATTCCTCGGCACATCCTCTCAGCAAGGATGAGATTAGTGAGCTCAAAACATCCATGTCTGGATCAGCTTCGGCACTTATGAAAGCTGTAACCTCCTTGCTTCTCATGTTTAGCAATTTGCTCAACTCGCATGCCACCATGTATCTCACATTCAAGTTCTCGTGATTTAAGCCACCAACAACATCTCGTAGTTGATCCTTTAAAGTCATTGACCCACGAGTTTCATGTATAGCTCTGTTAACCTCTGTCAGAGCAGAAATACAAGGCAATGGAGGGAATTCACGTATATGTGCCTTTAATATACTCTTGTCTTTTAAAACAAGCTCTTCCGAAATCTTTACCACCATATCTAAATGTGTGGAAGTTTCATTTCTCTCCAGGAAAGGCACAAGTGCAGCAAAGACTTGAGAAATCACATACTTGATGCTAGATGGTGATACCTTAGCCAATTGTTGGATAAAAGAATTCAATACAATGAGACCTTCGCTTTGTAGTAATTCTTTACCAATAGCATGCATAAGAAGAACCATTAGTTTCGGCACATAGGTACTAAGATGAGAACCCATCAATTTAATAAGCATTTCAATGCGTTGCAGAGCTTGTTTCTGCAGGCAAACATCCTCTGCATGGAGCATTTTCCTATCAACACTGTTGAGGAGGCCAACAAAATGATTTCTCAAAAATCCTGGGAGATCATCCCCACCAGTGAGAACTCTAGCAACTTGTAATATCATCTCAGGAACTCTAGCTAACCTACAGAATGGAGAATGATGAAAAACATGCCAAAAAATTTTTTAAAAATAAAAGGCTCTACTTTGATTGGATGGACAAATGTGTATGACGGGAGTAAATTAGAGCACATACAAGGAACAACAATAAACAAGTTTTAAAATAAAAGATACCTAAATGGTAATTCAAAATCTATGATGTCAATGATAAAAGGAAACAAAAAAACATTTGGAAACCAAATAAGTTGAGCCTAAGCTCACAGGTAAGCTAGGAAGGAAAATTGGCAAAGTTGCAATCTCTGAAAAGAAAAGGAGTAAGTGAAAATGGATACGTTACAAAAATCTAAATCCAAACTCCACAGCAAATACCAGAGAGGTCCGAATGCTATATACCTTTTACTGACCTCATGATCTGAATCGCCACCATCGATAAAGCATACTAGTTCATCTAAGAGTGCGGGTAATGCAGCTGCAAAAATCTCTTCCTGATTCGAACCAGTCTGCACATGATAAAATTCCAAGGCAGAGAGTAACTCTTTCCCGTTTGCTTGGTAGAGAGCAAATGCAAGAACTTTTGGCAACCAATTCACTGTCAATGTTACCATATCAGAGTCTACACATTTAGCTAATTCATATAGAGATTCAATTGCTTGATCATTATTCTGATGAGAGACCACCAGCTTTGGAAGAACAACAGGAATCATTTTCTTAACAAGTTCTTCAGTTTCAACACCCAAAACAGCTTCTGCAAATTCTTGTACAATTTTTGGACGGCTAACTAGTCTTGTAGAGAGATAATCAAATAGCTCATTCTGAAGATGGACAACTTTTGAAAATATTAGTTCACATTTCCCATTAAAATGGAAACGACAAGCTTTGTGAATTGATCTTGAAGCACTCATCCTCACTGTAATATGTGGATTATCAAGATGATCAACCAACAATAAAAGAGAAATGGAGAAAAATTCACTGTGAATATCAACTGCAGTCATGAGCTCTGCTACAGATTCTAGTAGAGTGTCAAGAATTTGGGGATCCGTAGTTCCCGTTGCATGTTTAATAAAATCCAAAATCATTAGCTCTTTCCTTTTGTTTGAGGAGTTTTCTTCTGGGACTGGGAAAAGGCAACTTGAGATATGATCCTCGAGGAAGGAACTAATTTGAAGGCAGAATGCTTCTCTTATTGCTTTCTTTCTGTTGAGAAGCAAAAACTCAACGCATTTAAGCCAATCAGCCTTCGTTTTATGTAGAACATCTCTAGTCCCATGGACCAGAATGCGTCTAAGATTTCGCACACAGGAAACTTGAACCTCTTCTAAAGACTCATCAAAAAGAAGTTTAAAAAACATGGTCACTAAATGGACAAAATCACAATCCAAATCCAATTTTGGGTAACAGACAGGTGGCTCAATTATATTTGTATATAGCTCATGATCGTACAGAACATTCTGATCACACTTTGAACACCAAAATCCTTGAATCAAATAGTCAACTGTCAGGCAACATCTATCACTGTTTGTATTTAAAAACAATTTACACCTACTCATGTTCTGACCATTTACAGTTTGGCAAGATCCATGAAGGCATGACAAAAACCCAAGAGAAAATGGAATAATCTTCTTAACTTTTTCATCCCTTTCTCCCTCCAAGATCCTGTAATACAAATGAGAATATAAACAAAAGAAATTAAGCAAAGGGTATCATTAATAAAGTTCGGATATAAAACCCAGTAGTATCAAATCAAGTGGCCTTGAAATGTCAAGCATATCTTATACCTTCTTTATTTGATTATATTTCCTTTTCATTTTATCAGTATCCTGTTAATTTGCTAGCCTACATATTCTCCCTTTTTTTCATAAGACCTACACAATCTCCTTTTCAGTTCCACTAGTTTCCATTCCATTTTCTACCATTAACTTTCTTTTCTGTTTTGAAGCTGCGATATAAAAAGGACACTTTCACAACTGTTATTTTTTATGAAGAAATATTCTATTCTCCAAAATCTACAGTTTGCACCTGAATTTTATTAACTACAAGAATCCAGAAGTTTTACAAAATGAATACCATTAGTAGATAGACAAATTCCTCTTACCCTATCCGAGGCTATCCCTTTTAATGTCAAGAAATAAGAAGTAAATAGTTCAGGAGCAGAAATCTCTTGCTCGTAATCAATAAAATTTCACAAATTCAATTTCCTTCTTCTGGCTCAAGCCTTCTGCAAAATTAGTTACTCATAAACACGTCACAAAACAATACATAAATGAGAGGGCCCAACTTACTCCAGCCTCCTAAATAACTGTGTTAGCTTGTCAAAACCAGTCCATAGAGCAATCACTGGAATAGAAATGGCAGCTTCAGTTCTAACTTCAACAGCTTCATCAACAAGACCCAAATCCAGGACCTCAAGATCAGTTTCAGTCTTTGAGATAGAAGCAACTTTTGATGCAACCTGAACAGAGATGGATTTTGTCTTCCATGGCTTCTGAGATTCAGTACTGGTGATTGAATGGGTCCATGGAACTTTAAGTATCACGGACATAGATTCAGCACATCCACCATCATCACTTCCAGACAGGAGTGAACCTAAATATAAAGAAACATGGGCTGTACAAATGAAACATATTCTCAATATTTTTTCTAAGAAGAAAAATGATTTTATTTATCAAAGAAGATAAAGAAAATTTGGGAGAAGGCAGATAAGAATACCATGATGGCTTTGTCAACTGGTACCAAATTGTTCAGATGAAACACATACTATCTATCAATATTCATCTTTTATGAATTTCTCATGTATGCATAAATTATAAAAATATGAAGGCATCTACGGCAACATATCACAACTCACAAGGGAATAGCACCTATTTACAAAACTGAAATTGTTCAATCATCTACCAAAAGCAGAACTTCAAAAAAATAATATGGCAACGTGACAATTGCCTTACTTGGTAGGAGAAGTATGTTGTGAATTCCTTCCAGAAATATGGATATATCAACAGAAATAGAGCTTCCTTGCTTTGCCTGTAGAAATATATCTCAATTCTCAATCACAAGAACTGGGAAACCAGGTTCTATAATGAAAAACATAGAACATTCACAAAAGTAAATCAAGCCACCTGCTTGTATATCCAGGGAATCCATGAAACCATCTCCTGAAATATGACCTGGGACAAATGAGTTTCAGGGTGCCGGCAGAATGCAATGCACAGCATGCTAAGAGCTGTTAATGAAATATCTGGTTTTAGAGCATCTGCTCTGATGGAAGAAGCTCTTAAACAACCAACATATGAAACAAGTAAATTATGCAAATTATTTGTATAAGTTTCTTCAGTTTCACAAATTCTTGAGTGAGTCTTCTTCCATTCAACCAGCATAGCAGCTTCAGAGTTCACAATTTCTCTATCAACCTTCCGCCTTTTGTTCTTGACAATATCCAAATCCTCAAAGTGTCTCTTTTCTCCAATTCTTGAGTTTTCAATTGATTTATTGCTCAATTCTGACAAACCCATCCCAGGCAAAGACCCTCCGACACAATCAGGACCAAGAACAGATATAGCTGCTTGGAAGCAATCTATCAAAGCAAAGCAAGGTTCTGGAAAAGAAAGCATATCAACGAGTATTTCAGGCCTCCAGATATGAGAAGGGCAGATTTTAGCAATCCGTATGTATGCATTGCATAATGAAACCTAAAAGATGCAAAATATAAAGGTAGAAATTAATTTTATATCCCTTATAGTAAGTCCCTAAGCAATCATGGATGTGACAAACCACGTCAGAACTTTCAATTGTTGCTAGAAATGACATTAGGAATGCAAAAAAAACCTTGAGCTCCATGCTCTTAGTTCTCCATAGGGACAGTGGAAATACACCAACCATGTCGGCAGCAGTTAGCTTGACAACATCATCGCAACAGTTGGAGTACAGCACATTAAGACAACCTCCTATAGAATTATCATATGATACGTTTCTGCCAAATAGACACAGTATTACAATACAAAAGTAGATAAAGTAAATCACTGTTAGAAACATTTTATTATAAAATGCCTTGAAGCATAGGTTAGCAGCTATATACCTAAAAAATTTGGCATTCTGCCAACAGGAGAAAAAGTTTAAAGATTAATTAATTCACAGAACATTGACAACAAATAAAAGAAGCATAAGTCTCATGAAATACAATAATTTCTTTTATTTGTCAACTTGGAAAAAGATATTAAAAAAGAAAGTATAACAAAAATTACGAAATGAAGGAAAATATAGGGAACTAAAAGGAAAGCCATATGGGGAAATCAAGATTTCCCGTTTCCAAAAATTACATTGCCAACTTCTGGCGTTCTTTTTTTTTCTATGTTTAATTGAATAAATCAACTTAATAAAGACTTGTTGATTGATCAACTCCAAAGAGGTATAGATTTGAACAATACAACAAATACCTGAATACAGGAAGTCCCTGTTTGTCTTCACTTAATATAGTAGATATTGACTGGATTAAAGGCTGATGAGGAACAACATCATCTATCACCAATGCAACGATGCGAGCAAAATCGAAGCATGCCTTCCATAAAATTAAATTCCAAAAAGAAAAAAAAATTCAGACGACTGTTAAAAAGAAAAAATTTGGACGGGGAATTTTTATCAACATCATAAACTTGATCATACTAAAGACTTCAATTCTCAGATGCGACCAATATATTAACCACGTACCATTTGCAAATCAGCATCCCCATAACATATCAAAGAACATGCTGCTGAAACATCTGACATGCTGATAAGCCCTTCAACATACACCGTTCCCTCAGCCAGGCATTTACCAAGAAGCTTGATAATCCAAGTCGCAAAAGGCTGCCACCTCTTCTTCCCCGTTAGATTGATCAAAATACCAGTGCCATTAGTTGGTCTGTTGATCTCTGGAAGATCCCCAAGATGATCGGGATCATCAAGTATTCCCTTCAAAGATTCACAGAAACAATTCAAAGTGACACTTGTAGACTCCACAATGCTTGAAGTATCATTACCAAGAGATGCAATATACAAAAGATCTGCATTAAGAGAGGAAATGTGAGCCATACCTCAAACGATGAAATACAAGATGGTGTACATGAAGTAAAAAATTTAGGAAATTTTGAATTGTCCATGGGTTTAAATCCATTACTGCATGTAACTCAGCGTCCGAGAGTTTACTTAACACAATTCATGTATTTCATAACGAACATAAGACACGTTAACTTGAGGCAACATTGCAATCAAGCTGCAACTAAATCCGTCACCACAATTTTAATCCACATGTAGCACATTTTATATAACTCGACCAATGGATAAGCAGAGTACAAAAAAAACCCATACAAAAAGTAGGTCAAGTTTATATAGGACAACATTTTTTAATAAAGTCCCATAAAGTTTCCTGCTTACCTTCAATGACTAACATGGCATCGAGGAAAAACTGACGGAATGCATCCCGTGCTCCAGTACGAAGCAGGGATAAAAGGGAACCAACAGTTTCAAAAATTATTCCATGTCGCGCCCTAAAATTAAGAAGATTAACTTCTATTAGATCAGGAAAGAAACAGGCGCACGGGAAAATTTGACCAGGACCGTCCTCCTTGCCCAAGAAAACAAGCAGGTACAAAATTCAATTTAATTGAGCATTGCAGAAAGATTTGAGACGTGAGGAACTGTCGTCGAAATTATCACTATAACGAACCTCCGGAAAATTACAATTAATGAAAGCTAAATAACGAAAACAAGAAAAATTACTGACTGGATAACGGGCTCTGCAAAAAACGGCAGTATACGACCAACCACAGGCAAAACGGCGCTGGCCTTTCCATGGTAAAAAACACCAGGAAAATTCCTCGCAGTGTGCGAAAGGAGCTTCAACACAGCGATTACTTCCCTCTCGTTTACTGCAAGAAACGGAAATACGATTCATATTATCGAGAAAACTCACTGAAATGAAATGACTCGGCAAAAGATAGCAGATAGCAAGTACTGTTTTCCAATTCTCATTTTTCCAACCAATGCCCAAGATAGTAACAAACAAAGAGGTATAAACGAGTGATTCTTTTGCTCAATTTAGTTAAACCAGGCGATTTTTTGTGTTTCAGAACCAGAAAAGAAAATGCATAACCAATAACCGTTCTCTGCTACGCTTGCACTCTGTTTCTTGAAGAGGAAGAAATGGCGCTAAAAGAAAACTAGGGCAGAGAAATAGAACCTGAGGAAGAGGGGACGACGTAGGCGTGGAGGAGATTGGGAAGGACGGCGCGAAATCGGACTTCGAGACCGACGTCATCTGCGCGAATGGGAGGAGTGGATGAAGAAGCTGCAATACGTTCTCGGAGCTCGTGAACCAGACTCGACAGATTCGCCATGGCTACACGTCCCCTCCGCTTGCTCAGGTTCTTCCCTCCATTTTTCGAACTGATTTTGCTTCATCGATGTGCGATTGCCGCCATTTATAAAGCTCGCGCTTGCTGCCAGACCATGATCCTACTGTCACTGCCACTCTCTCTCTCTCCGAAATTTCTTCGCCTTTTTTCTTCAAAAAACAAATTTGTGTTTTTTTAACATTAAAAATTAAAAATAAATAAATGTTAAAAAGTTCAAATATCACATATGTGCACTCTTTCGTTGGTTAAATAAACGACCATAGATTTCAAAAAAATTAATGAATTATTGTAGTAAATGTTAATCAATAAAATTTTATAGCGCCAAAATGAACATAGTTTAGTGTCATAAACTTCCAACACTTGCTTTTAGAAAAAGCACTTCTATACCGTTGATATTTCTTGAAGTCCAAATCACCCCAACTATGCCTTCGAGACAAGTAATTATACTGCTTTATTTTTCATGTTTCATGTATTTGTTGCTATGTGGTTTGAAATAAGTTCAATTGCATATCATTCTTTTTAATTTAAAATATGATTGAAGTTTAAGTTACTATAAAAAATGGATAAATTTTTTTATAAAAGATAAAATGAAATATCTATTTAACTCGAGTAAATTTTAATTACTTGATTATAATAAACAAACACAAATACAAATAAAATAAAATAAAACGATTGAGTTATTGGCCGTGGATTTTAATCAACGATTGCTTTTTTTTTCGGATAAAAATTATACTTCGAAATTTTTGGTAAAAGGACATTTTGGTAATTTTGATAAAATAACCTATAGGTAATTTTTAAAAAGATCATTTTAAAAAATTATTTAAAGTCCTATTTTAAAAATATCAAGATAAAGTTTGTTATTCACCGTTTCTAGTTTTTCCCCTCAAAATATAAATAAAACATTATTTTATCATAATTGAATTATTAAAATACATAATAAATATAAGATAAAAATTTTGAATATTTAATTAAAATAAATTTTATATAAAATATTTTAACTTTTTTGTATAAATATAAAACTCATAAAATACATAATAAATATAAGATAAAAAACTTGAATATTTAATTAAAATAAATTTCATATAAAATATTTTAACTTTTTTCTATAAATATAAAACTCATGGAACGAGAACGAAAAATAGTTACTTTATATTCCTTTTTTCAGAAAAAAGAATGATTACTAAACGTGTCATGTTTTTATTCTTAAAAAATATGAAAAATAAAAAACAAAAAACAAAAAACATTACCAAATGACCTGAATAGTTTATTATTTTTTTTTTATTTTTGGTTCCCCACATATTGTTGAGCTTCATCGTGCAATTCAATTACTATCCCAATATATTATTTCTGATGTAATTGAATTATTTTCTCCACTCATATATGTGTGTATATATACATATATATATATATATATATATATATATATATATATATATAAATGAAGGACACATAGTTCATGGGTGCCTTCTTACATAGCAAGCAATCTACAATTTTGACATGGATGGGGGAACTGATACAAATAACTAAGTTCCCAGCCATATCAGAACAAACAAAAGTATCTATACTGATTAAACTTAGTACAGTGATATTTTGAACACTTTTATGTTTAAAAAAAAAAAAGATTAAGACCTCACTTAACTTCTCGACCGTTGACTTTCTCAATCACTATGACATTCTCGATCAGTGTAATGAAACATTTCTACCTATCTATCCCGTGATTCAAAACAAGATCATACTTGAGAAAGGATGTTAGAGTGTTTAGGCCTTAACTTTCTTGTCAGGATGATTGGTGAATCTCTATAACAAGTGAAAGTGAAGCCTTGTGTGTTGCTGTTCAAGTAGATGTAAAGCCCATGGAGGGTGCAGAAGAAGGCAGGGAATGGACATTGATATCGATGGGCAATAGACGGTATTGAATGTCGAGCTCTTGACAGACCTTCACGACCTGTTCGACCAAGACGGACCTCCGAGCCCATCTTTCGCCCGAGTCTTGGTGATTCATTCTGTGTGACAACCAAACTGCCAATCTCAGCCTATTTAACTCCTCTACATCCTTGAACACAAACATAGGGGAAGGGCTCCAGTGTGCTTTGTTGCCTTCAATGTAACTGCAGAAGCAGCAAAACAGAAGAACAATTATTATTTTGATGACAATGAAGATATGTTCAGGTTGGGCAGCAAGGTTGTTTTTTTCACAGCTGGCATACCTTATGATTCTCTGTTTCATGGTAGCAATTGTCTCGGCTGGTGTCGCTATATGGATGCAGAATTCAACGGATTCGCCCATGTCAGGACTACGGTAAAAATTGTGAATTAATTTGGTTGCAAGAACACTATTTGGGATTATAACCTTCAGGTTGTCATATCTCAAGAATACGGTGGTCAAGATGTTCATTTCCTCTACAACCATCTACACTTCATTGGGATGGATAGTAAGGTCCAAGGTTCAGAAACGAGAAGAACAATAGTTATGTTAAAAAGAAAAAACGAACTAGCACTACCTGCATTCCATCGATTTCACATCGATCTCCAACGTCAAACGGGTGCATGACAAACAAGAAGATGATTGCTTCGAATATGGTCTTGCAAGTGTTTCCAAAAATAAATGCCACGACCACTATTTGGGAACTAACGAAGGCGAAAAATTTGCTGCTCGCAATTCCTAGTAATATAAGCCATAAAATCAATATAAGGATGCCGAATATGACATTCACCATATGGTGTAGCCTATCAACAGCTGTTTTCGTATCATTCAACGTCAAAGCAAGGGATCTTCGTTCTCTGAAGGCATTGACCTGGAACAGAAGGATGTATCATACTGTCAAACATGGGAGGTGAAAATGCCAAAACACTAGACCTGGAACGGAAAAATACAGGAAGAAATTCTATCATAGATTGGCATGATCTGGATGACATTTGGATCCTTCTGAAGCATTTTTCTTGTTTGACATTGTTCACATTAAGAGGACTCATAAGTCTTAACACTATTGGGCATCCTCTGGTGAGAATGGCTGTTGCCAAAACAACCCGAGACCTGGTTTCGTACTCTTCCTAGTTTGCTAGAAGATTTATATTCTGATCTTTGACAAGGTAACTTGGCTGCCTAGTTTCTTCAAGGCATTTTAATTTTTCTATTTAGGAAAAAAAAAATTTACAGCACTCCACATGTTACCCTCCTCCGCAGCAGAAATTTCTTCCCACATTATAGTGAGATATGGTACTGTATTCAAAAGACGACGACCAAGAAAAAAGATATTCTAGAAAAAGGGTTGGATTCAGATTTGTCACTTGAAGTACATATTTATGAGGTAACTTGATTAGGTTTAAACTTTATATTTGAGATATTTTCTCTCTTCACAATTTCAGACAAAGATTTTCAAAATTTCTAATACAATGGTGTTAATTATCTTAGCTGAATCTAAAACTGAATTTCTCAACTCATTTTACAGCACTCAATGCCAGCCACTTTCTTTCTCAAAAATTTTATCTACTTGCAGTAATGACAACGGTACTAACAAAAGAGGGAAAGTTTTCTGAAATCAGTTATGCATTCTTACCACCCAATTTTTCAAGGAAGATTTACTTATCCTCCGGCTTTCGGTTGCTCCTTCAAAGAGACTCATTGTTCTCAAAACCTCATCTTCTCTCATGAAGCGCATTAAATCCTCCGGGTATATGTACCTGCAAGAAAAAATTGGAAAGAAGGTTATGTAATGTGATTGTCATACACAAAACAATGCATGAATTGTCTGTAATTTGAACTGGCACGACGTCAAAGATGAATAGAAAACTGAGCTAGAGTAGAGGATCAACATCAAAGTAGAATTGAAAAGAAGAAGAAGAAACCCAGCTAATCTTTTAAGCTTTTAAAATATTCAGTGAGAAATTTCCAGTGCCTGACATGGCGGGGGGCCTAGGTAGGCTTCATTGCTCACTAAAAATGTAGTTACTTTCTAATTATGCTTCCATTAGAGCCTAATGGTTCTTCCATTTTCCAGTGAAATTTACTGCCACCAGAATCGAATTGTCAAGAAAAACATCAATCGGAGAGAACAAGAGGAAAAGGGAAAAGATAACAGCAAAAGGAAAGATCCACGAAACAGTTTCAGTTTGTCGAGCAACAAAAAGCATACATGAAGATGTGATTAGGAGGGTTGGTTTCAAACAATGTATGTGAAATCACCCACACAAGAAGCAGAATATGAATGAAAGAACATACTTCAACTCACGCCGAGCCACATTCTGAAAAATCTTCTTTGCTGCAGCCTTTGCCTCGCGTTCACTTCTGATCTCTCTAGTAGATTCATCCTCAAGACACGGCCCAGGTATCTGCTCATCCAGTGTTGAAATACTCCCATATCGAACCATGTTCAACAACCTCTTCATATTCCAAGCAGATACATTCTTAGGACTTAGTTTATGCAAGTGGTCAATCGTTATGCCATCGTTTCCATTTTTGGTAAGTGGTCGAGAACTTTTTCCATGAGAACTTTTTCCATGAGAACTTTTCTGGTTCACTCCACCACCAATTACCCTTCCACTCTTTACAGAGGAGGTGTCTGCCTTGAGGTCAGGGGGTATGCTAACCCCTGCATTCTGTAATTTTTGGACTTCATCTGCAAGCCTCTCCTCTGCTTCCTCATTCTTCCGAATTTCAATCAGCGGCGGCCCCGAGAGTGTCTCGATGACATATTGGTTAAACAATGATTCCTGAATTCGATCAAAGTATGTGCTCACATGGAAAGAAGATGCAAGCACCTTCACCATCAGGGTTTTCACTAGCCAAATCAAGGTGCTGACCAAGAGAGAAACTAAAACTCTCCTCACGTATTTGAGCACAGTGCCATTGGTTTCACTCTCAACCCGCTTATTGAACAACAAACGCCACGCGATCAGAACAAGGCCTAACCATATACAATTCTGCACTGGCTTTCTAACCCCATATACAAAATACAGAAGCCTTTTACGCAAAAGAAAATTTCTCTCGATGCAAAACACTATGATCCTAATCCCCCAACCAGACACCAATCGTCCACAAATCAGTATCAAAACCATCACCTCCCATTTCCATATATTCAACTCCCATAGGCTCATTGCCCTCAAATAAGGAATATAAAGAGTGCAAACTAAAGCCCCAGTGATTAGAACCAAACTGATCCATTGCAGCAGTGTTAGAACACTGAAATCGCTCCTTTTAAAATCCTCTGGAAGGTCCTCCTCCAGAAAGGGGTCATCGTCCTCCTCCTCACCCTTGCCCAGAAACCCAGATCGTAGCGGTCCCGATTTAGGAATGAGGCCAGATAGGAGGGCTGGTTCTTCCGGCGGGTCCATCAATCTTGACTTGGTTTTCGCCCTCAGCAAATGAGACGTCCTCTGGAACGAAAGCTCTCTCTGAAAAGACAAATTAGACGTGCACCTCGCAGCCTCAGCAGCACAATCATTCTGAACACCAGATATAGTCGGAGATCCATGACGTTCGTGATGCGATTGTTGCCATGGCGATTGCTGTCCTTTGTACTCATCTTGCAGCTCGCGGGAGTCTCTGTATCGCCTCCGAATCGAGTCATTGCTTGAACTTTCGGTCGAATCCTGCTGGAACGAAACCTTGAGATCCTTAGAAGTCTGACTCAACGGCGACTCTGCCAACGGAGGTATAATCCTATCTTGTTGCAGCTCCTCCATCTCCAAATCCATGTCCAAAGTCGTTTCCCCCCTCAATTTCTGCTTGTGAAGAAACTCCCCAATCAGCTTCATCGGAGGATCCTCCACCTCCACACCGTACCCACGCTGTACAAATTCAAAACCCTCATTCCTATCACCATTATCACTCGCTCTCGCACCACTAACCCTACTCGCACCACTAGCCCTACTCGCCCCATTTTCCCCCTTTCCGTCATTGTTCCAGAAATCGTAGTTGGTTTCCCGCCAAACCTTCCCGCCATTGCCTTCTACTGGTCTCGAAACAGCCGCAGAACCGCCATCGTCGATCTTCAGAATAACCTCCGTGCGGTCAGATGGATCGCAATCGTTCATCGATCGACGACCCCTATGGCGATGAACTGCAGCAGGTTCGTGATCGAGAAGAATGGGGAGCTCCTTGTGACTGATTTCGGTCCCTCCTCCGCCAGCAGAAATCTTCCTTGTGTGCTTAAAGGACACATTGCTCTTGAAGGATTTCTTAATCGTATCCATTACGAAATTATCGTTCCCCGCGTACACGATTATATTATATTGTTGGAAAAAAGGGAGAAGAAATTCAGAAAATGAGAATGAAATTCCGTCGGGAGCAAAATTCTCAGGAAGGTTGCAATAAGAATGCCATTAAAAGTAAGGTATTGAGAATTCCAGAAGCGAGCAGGTTGGGGAGAAAGCGAGAGGGAGATTCTGCAACGAATCGCAAAATGTGGCGATGGCGATACTGATCCATCACAGAGAGAGGGAGAGAGAAGAAGAAGAAGGGCTAACCAATTTGCATGGGATTTAGTTTTTTGGTTCTTTAAACTTTAAAACAAACAAATATTATATTTATGCAAACGCCATGCACTCGCCACAAATGCCCAACTTCATTCGACCCATATCATAACCCACCCAAATTATGGTTTTTTCGGGTTTTTTTTTTCTTTTGTGTCAATTTTTCCATTTTATGAAAATATCGATGTCTATTCCATATTTATACGAATAGACAACTAGGCATTTCACCATTTTTAAATAAGTTTAGAAATCTTATTATTATTATTTTTATATTCAATATTTCGTTGAATTTTTTTATAATATAGTGGAAATATCGATGTCGAATTCATAGTCATATGAAGACTTCGATGGAAATGATAACATGTTGATGAAAATTTAAAATTCATCTGTTATGTTATCATACTTTTTTTTAATTTATATTCCTCTGGTTGGTGAACGTTGAAGTTGGCTAGTGATTAACTTATTTAATATGATTAATTAGTTTTCAACCAAAAAAAAATTGAAAAATTGATGGTTAATTAGTGAGTTTAGGATAATTTTAGAAAGGAGGTCATTGAGAAAGTTTTTACCTCCTCTTTAAATTTTATAAGAAGTTGACAAAATTTTCCTCTTTTTCTTGTTGTTGGCCAATGAATATAAGTTTATTTCAACTTAAAGAGTATTGTATTATATAAGTTTATCCTATTTTATTTTTAATATTCATTGATGGAAGGGGCATGATTGAAAAATATTACAATACAAGAGAGTTTGAACTTTTTAAAAAAGGTGGGATTAAATAGAAAAAACACTCAAAAGATTAAAATATATATTTAAAAGATTTTAAACAATGTGTCGAACATTTTTAAATTGAATAAATATTTTCAATGTAATTTTTTTTCTAATATAATATTATAAATGTGAAAATAGAAATATGAATTTTCAACCTACCATGGTGGCTTATCAGATAGAACTATACTCAGGTTAACAAATAAAATTTTAATAGTTTTGGAATTGAATAATGGAATATTAATTTGATTATGTATTTCTTCACGATATACAACTAAAAATTCAATCAGTCTGGTTTAAGTGAAAAAATATATATTTAAATCTAAAGAAATGTAAACAAACTTATGACTCAACTTTATAATTGAGTTAAAGCTCCTTGGTTTATTAATCAATTCATCTAAAATCATTTCGTAGTCTCTTCGAAAGCGTTACCTTATTTTGTTTAGTACAACAAATTTGAAATATGAGGATTTGAACCTTAGGAAATAGTTTATATTTATTCCTTTGTCATGATTTATTATTTTCAGTCTTCAGTTAATTATTTTTTAAGTAATTTTATTGGGTGAGCCAACTTCAATTTTATCAAACCACATCCAAGTGAGAGAACTAACCCATCGATAAAAATATATTTGCAAATACTAATTTTGTGTTTGTATTTTTTAATTGATTTTAGAAATTTGGTTGAGACTTTGTACATTGCTTTACTTGCAGGATTGGATTTAGCATTGACTTTATTTTAAATTGTTGGTGGTACATAAGCCAATTTTTTATAACTTTTTTCAAAATAGTAATTTTTGTTTTTAGAAAATTGACTAAAAGTAAAAGAAAAATTACAAGCAAACTAGCATAATTTTAAAAAATTAAAAATTAAAAATGAAATTGTCATGAAAGGAAACTTAACTCTAATTTATTATATGTAATTTTCTAATTTGGTTTTCGAAAATGCATTATCTTCAACATACCAATTATTTTTTTTAGTACATTGTAGTGGTGGAGATTCGAACTCATGACCTTCTTGTCAGAGATATGTGCCTTCAACAGACCAATTATTAATTGAATAAGAAAACCTAGAAAAAGATGTAAAAGATAGATTTGTCTCTTGCAAATAAAACAATTATTATATAAAAATAAGAACAAAAGGTTAACGTAGATGATTTTCATGGATGTATTGCCATTGCCCAATACAAAATTGCTGATGAAGTCCTTCGAGAGATAATTAAAACTGAAAAAAAGAAAAAATGAAAAAAAAAAAGGTATCTAAAAATCCTTATTATAAAAGCTGCGACTCATCACAACTATAACACCTTTAATGGAAGAAATATTAAAAAGGAAGAAAACTTCAAACTATTACCACGAAGGGAAACAATTAATCGGTTAGAAAAATTGATAGAAGAAATAAATGAAGGAAAAAGGAAAGGGAAATGAAAGGGGGGGAAAAGTTAAAAGTAAAATGTTGTGGTGACAAATTACTATACATGACAGACAAGGTTGGAGATTAGCCAACAATGTTAAAATTGCCAACGGCCTTCTTTCTCACTTATCAGTGATGATTTCTTCTCAACACGGAAAGGAATCCTCCACTCTTCTCCTTTCGTCGGTCCTCACCGTCTTCTGCAACCTGCTCGACATTGTATGGTGTAGAATGTTAATTCAAAGACAAATGTAACATGCCAAATTGAGCATAGCTCAATCAGTTAAAGTATATATCTTCGACAAAAAGATTAGAAGCTTGGTTCCAAGCTTCCTATCCTAACGTGATTTGACTTACAAGTGTAATTTCTTATAAATAATATATTTTTGATAAATAAACTACTTCTTCAAATTACATTCTTGTAAGTTTAATGTATATATCATTCCTATTATTACCATATTAAACTACAATGAAATAAGGTTTTTCATTTAGTTGATCATATTTGGATTTAGATTATGCAAAATATATGGAGAAAAAATGAGTGAGTTTTTAGGTAGGTAAAAAGTAGTTTAGGGATGTGACCAAATTAGAACTTTTAAAACCATTAAAACTAAATTGAAAATATAGGGCTTCATTGAAACTTTTAGAATTATAAAGATCGAATTGAACGATGTTTTTAATTTTAAAAGACCAAAATCAGTTATCAGAGATTTTGGTCAGAAAGAAACAACATTATGTTATGGAAAAGTTTTATCAAATCGCATTCTTCTATCCAAAATAAAATTGTAAAAATAAAAATAAAAAGAAGCAAGTCATGGAGAACTTACTTCCTTCGCTATCTGCAACAATATCTCGATAATTTCGGAGAAGTCAGGCCGAGATGAGGGGTCCTGCTGCCAACATCTTTCCAGCAACTCAGCCAGTTTGGGATTCGTGTGCTTCGGAATAGTAGGCCGCAAACCCTGAAAAAACATGCACCGTCGATTACACCACAAATATTTGAATTGAATGATCACAACCGCACACATGCTAACGAATGGATGGAAGGAAAATGCCATTTTTCACCTCTTAAGGAAGAAGCCACTGGAGCACTTTACGACTAGTCGACTCAACAATTTAAGATTCCAATTTAAATAACATAAACTACAGCTAAATTTTATGGAATGCAATTGTACCTTTTGGACGACTCCGACCGCAGCTTGTAATGGAGTTAGGAATTCATAAGGTAGCTGGAAAGAAAAACCAATGAGCATCATTTATATGGAAAAAGAACACTAGGGAGGAGGGATGAATAACAATCGGGAGAAAAGGTAGACCGCCATTTATTGTACCTTTCCAGTAAGCAACTCCCACAAGACAATTCCGAAACTGAAAACGTCGGCCTTGTGATCATATGGTTTATGTTCTATAACCTTCAATACGAAGTAACTGGAGTAAGAAGATGACAAGATGAGTAAACTATATATCTTCCAGTAAACTGCCCGCTAGATTTTTGCAGGTTGATGGAAAGGAAGATGATCGACCTCAAAACAACCAAAGTGGGGAAAAATGGAGAAGAAAGAAATGGCTATATACCAATTTGATGAAATCACAGCAGCCAGATAACTCAAAATATAGTTTAACTTGTCAAGACAACGATAGATTATCGCATGTCTTTTAAATTGTGGAATTCAACGAGTGAGCATGCATGGCTCAGTGAGGTCAGCATGTAGATATAATGAAGCATGAGATGAAAGGATTTCTTATTCTAAAACATGAGGACTTCATCATTGAATTTAGAAAAGACATCCCAACCAGTTTCTTCCCTACACGATTAAGAACAGAAACATTTTCTCTAAAAAGTAAAAACAAAATCAATGGAATGTAAAACCCGTCATCAAACAAGTCAAAGTACTGTGATTTTCAAGAAAAACCGGTGTCACTGTATACAAACATATCACATCTACGCTTTGTTCGTGCTTTAATAAGCTAACATTCATCTGAAAAAAATATTCCTAAGGTGCTCGTGCATATTACCCAAAAGCATACCATAAATCTAACCAAAAAATCTAAAACTGAAAACAGGCTAAGCAGTGTTCGGTGTTTAAGGGACTGGGTGTTAATTTTCTATAACTAAAGCACACATTTAAGTATATCACCTAGTTCCTACAGTTATAGACAATTGCTGGCCAAAGATCACATGTAAATATGTAATCTGCAGTTCACTTTCAATAAATATGACATAGTGGCATGTGTCAAAGCCTCATTTATACTAGAATATATAGCCTCCATCTTTCCATGAATATACCTCAGGAGCCATCCACCGATACGTCCCAGTTTCTGCTGTCATAACTCCTGATTGAGATTTTACTCTGGCAACACCAAAATCAGCAACCTTGACAACCTGCAGCGGAAGGTGGGTGTGACTTGTGAGAGAGATGCCCATTCTCCGGATCATAGAACAAAATGAGTTAAATTATACAATATTCACATGCAACTACATGTTCAGAAAATCTTGTATACACCCATCTACAAAGATCAAACTTTTGAATCCACACAATTTGTAACAACCCACCCTAGGTTGGCTTAATGGTGATAAAACCACAGACTCCTATGTTTTCGAGGTCTCATAGGTTCAAAGGATTATAGCAATCTAACTAAGATGGCTAAACATCCTTCAAGTTTTCCACCTCCAAATGTTGTAGGATCAGCCGTTGTCCCATGCAAGCTTGTCAAGACAGGACACATGCTACCCTGAACACCTATAATAATTATGTTAAATGAATGATGGTATGTAAATTTCAAAATAGTACGGGGAGTCCCTTTCGGTATCCTAAGTTATTACATGAAGATCACATGAAATTGGCAGATATCAATTTTATACGCAACCATGTTTACTTCATCAAATTAAAACTCACGGTATTTCTAACTTAATTAATAAAACGCATTTTGGCGTTGAAAACTCACGTCATCATTTTGTCAATGAATTTTGAGGTTTTGTGATGATAAGGTATGGTACATTGGGCTACGAATTCTTTGACGATGTCGCATGCTTTGCTCAAAGCTTTTGGTTCTTGTAGCAAATGTAGCTGGAAAAAGGTTTGGCGAATGGTTATCTAAATAGTTTCCACAAGTAGTTAAAGGAAAAAAATAGACTTGTGATTTGCAATCAATGCATCATCTTTTTTAATAAGAAACCGGATTTTCATTGAAAATCAATGCATCATTGTTTAGTGATAAACTCGAATATCCTTGTTAGAATTTTCCAATCAGCCTCCGGACTCGAGATTAATTATGGGAAAACTCTTTTCATAAGCATCAACTTGAGCCTGGAAGAAAAAAGTCTTCAAGTGTCTAGGCTCAAGTGTTCGAGTTTCGAACAATCAATTGGGTACTTAAATGTCCTATTTAATGGTAATCCTAAATCAATGGAATTACAGAACCCAATGTAGAAGCAAATTTGTGAAAACCAAGCTATGCTTTGTACTCTAAACAGGCAATATAAACTTTAGCCTAGACAATTTTATCCAGCAATTCCCATTTACTTTTTGTCTTTGGAATTCTTAGAAAGGTTACAAATCCGCTGAAGAAAATTAGAATTCTTTTAAGGGACAAAAAATGCAAAGAAGCTTACGTAGCCAAGTGGTTGAGATACCTAAGATAAGATTACGGTGAGAAATTCTCCGCTTTTTTTTATAAAAAAAGACTTTTTTGGGTGGTTCTTTGGAAGATGCTCTTGGAAGGATATCGCTCATGAAAATATTTTCAAGATTCAAAGTAGTAAGCAACAATATGTTAGGTATTGGGTTATTATTTATGTATAACAAAGAACAAGAAGGTGCCAATGAACCACACAAGACCTGCTAGCCAATTCGAGAAGACTAGTTCTCTCCTGCACACAAGTACCTCTACCCAAAGTGCTCAATGCCCTTCCTCGTGACTCTTTGACAGCATATATTTCCACCCAACCTAACTAACTATTAGAGGTTAAATCCCATTTTTGCCATTTTCTATAATAGACATGTACAGTGGGGGCTTTTCCCCTTCCTCGTATATATTGACATTAGGATGTCTAGCACAATACACAATTTTTGGAGGCCACCTGAACTGCAGCAATTCAACATCTCAAGACAAGAACCTTTTCTCTAAGACTCTTGGGTAGCCCTTTCAAAAAATTGAAGCAGTACAGAGGGCTAGAATGGTAGATTGGTAGGTGCAAAAAAATGGAACCTAAACTTTATAAGGATAGGGTATTAAGAACCAGATGAAGTTGAGGGGGGTGGTTGGTCACGATACAATAGAGAATTTTAGAACTCAAGGAAACAATTGTACAACCTACAGAACAGATCCTATTCAAGTAAGGTCGTAGAGACAATAGAGAATTGGGCAGTTACTGAATTTGAGTCTAGACCAAGGAATGTAGTTGTTGGTTGTTGCAACCCTGGAAAAGTAATATGTGCAAAGGTCGATGGATCACCTACGTCATTTTGAACATAGCATGCATTGAGGCCACCTTTCATTCAAAGGATGGATGGAAAGATGAATTCAACCAACGCTCTAGAGTGCTCCATCCATACTTCCCTATGGGAAGTGAACCAGAGAGAGGCAGCCCTCTGCTTCTCAAACATTGCTGAAGTAGTCACCAGTCTATAGAGTAATTAACAACTACCTAGGCTACAAGCTTATATTCCTAGCTGTCTTTTTTCTTCATGTAACTTTTGTTGAAATCTGAGATTTTGGTCATTTCTTCTTCTGAAGCACAACAGAAGGCATTATTGTGAGCAAGAGGGGTCCTCTTTGTGTTCTTCTTCTGGACCATAGATGTATTCTGAAGGTTTGAACCATAAGTGAATCAAGGGAATTTTCGACGAATTCCCTTTTTAAGCAACTGATGGAAACAAAGGATTTTCACTCCCACTAAACTTACCGAGGTAACAAGGAAAAATAAAACCCCAGAGAAAGTGACGTTATTTTCATGGACCCTAGTACATGGGAGGATCAATACAAGAGGTTGTCAAAGAAGGCCTCTTAGTATGGCCATTAACCCAACCTGCTTTGTGTTCTACTGATGAAATTGTTGCATTTAAACTCAACCAATAAACTAGTGGAATTATAGCAGTAAGGTTTAATTGCAACAATTTTGTTACCCAGGGGGATTAATTGCTCAAAATGAAAGTTTAAGAGTACGGTGGTAAATAACCACGAGTGTTCATATTAGCCAACACATCTATTTATCCCATGGGATAGCTACCTAACCAAATAATATTTGGTATTGAAAAACTACTTAATTAAACCATCAACAACAAATGTGAGCTGAATAAACTTATGTACAGGCTAAAAAGTGCAAATATTTCTAGAAAGTTAGCATATTAAGGACTAGAATTGAGAAGAGCATGCATGACATCAAAACGAAAAACTGGAAAGAAACTTTTCTTACTTCATTTTCATCCATCAGAAGATTGGCAGCCTTTAGGTCTCTGTGAATTATATTATTTTGGTGCAAGTAGTTCATTCCCTTGGAGACATCAATGGCTACCTTGAGCAAAGATGGAAGCCTAAAAGTGCCCTTTTGTTTATGTAGATAGTCGTAGACACTACCGCCAGACATAAATTCTGAAGGGAAAAAATAGAAAAATGATTACAGATTTAATCCAAAGAAATAATATTTCATTATTTTGTCCAATAGGGTTACAAAGATAAACTTAATGAACTCTATGCTTGATTCACCTGTTACAATGCACAGGCTTGGGGGCTTGGTACATGCACCTATAAACTGTACAACATTCTTGTGCCTGACTTTTCTGCCAGTCAAAAATAAATGTTCATCAAAAGATTATTGACACAGAACTCAACATAAAGCAGATTAGCTCAACCTCTCTACACATCACTAGAATAAGAAAGAGATGAAAGACTGAAAAAATTGAAGCAGTAGAAAATTTACTTTG